TTTAACACAGTGAAAATTAAGTGCTTGCTGGAGGAAGATGTACTTTAAGATTGTAGCCATATAAATATTTGTTAGAACTTAAAATTGGTTGCCTAAGTCTTTTGTCAGAATGCCTTACACCTTCTTTGTTTGGACTGCTTAAGGAGTCTGGACATTTTGGAGTATTTTGTGAAACTTTCAGTTGTGTTACTGTTCCACGTGGCCCTCAGAAAACCTTTCCTCTTATCAAAACACAGCACCTGTTGACTTTGAATTACTTAGAAGCAGTAACTTTGATTAACCAGTTTGGTTGTAAGTGAACCTCTGGTTCTCTGATGCTTCCAAGAGGTGTGAGAAGATACATTACTCAGAAGCAGCTTTAATCAAACAAATGTCTTGTTTTAATGTTACAGAAAATAGTTGGTGCTTAGGGTACAAAACAGTTCAGTTGTGCTTCTTGTAGTTTGCTGTTCAGCTATTCAACAGCTTTTTGTTGACTGGGTGCACTGTGGATTGACCTCTTAATCAAAGTAAGGATGTTTTATGTAATTTTGGCAAAAATATTACAGAGCAGAAATCTCTATATACAGCCACTTATTGTACTATGGCATAACAGGTTTGGAGACGTGCAGTTTAGGCTGGTTATATAGTTATTCTTCCTCATCCTTTATTATGAATCTGTTCTAGATTTCTAATATTAATATTAAAAATACTGGCTTTATTTAATAATTTCAAGTTGGCCACCTATCTGAAAGGTTTTTGTTGATCTGTCTTTTTGGGAGCTTTTTAAATGTCTTGTCAAGTATCTGACATGGCTTTACAGTACAGTGTTCAACTTAATAGACGATTGGCAGAATTACTATGTATTGGGTTTTCAAAATAGATTAAGTTGATCATAATGTTAAATTTCTGCCATTATCATATATATCGCATAAAATAAATGCTACAGAAGAGCCACTCATGTAGAAAGCTGCTGGAAGGGTATTTTGCATTGAAGTCAGTCAGTAAAATTAAGAAAAATGCAGAACCGTTTGCAGTGTAAACAGCAGCTTCGCTTTCTTTCCAGTCCTAGTGCTGTAATTACCAGGTGTTCTGTGTTGAATTTCTGGCCTAGGACACAACTTCAGCTGCAAAATATGTCTTCTTTGTCACAGTGGTTAGGGTATTCACCTGAGAAGGGAGGGATAGGATTAGGCATTTCTTAAAGCAGAAAAAGTGGGTTTCCTACTTTCTGGTCATCTGGTTTAACCACTTTTGATGTATAAAATAAAGTCATATTTTTCTCTTTGATACTGTATTTTTTGTTACTGTTTTCCACAGGCCTTTTTTCAAAGAAGGAGCTGTTCTTTGCTTTTGCAAGAAAATGGTTACAAGCTTATTTCTGGCAAGATTCAGGGTTATTTGAGAGAGTAGTTGTCCCAAGATTTGGATGCCGGGATTTCAGAAATGGATATTACTGTAAGAAGTGTTTCTTGTGGTAATCCTAGATGATTTCCAGTCAAGAGTCTGCCTCCAAATTCTGTCCTGAGTTACTGAGGGCAGGGTTTCATGTTTCTGGTTGAGTTACCATATAGGCAGCACTGAGTGGATGCTCCTGTCCCACCTCTCTCCACACCACGTTCTCCTTGTTGCTCTCCCCAGTGTAGTAACCTCTTCTCTGGGTGATCTGGTGAAATTCTCATGCATGGAAAAGGAGCGCAAAAAACGTCTGAATCAAACAGTTCCCTCAGTGGTTACCAAGTTCATATAAGGGGAGTACTAAAACTGTTGGGTGAAGGGTGGCAGGATGGTACTCTACAGAGTCTCAACAGAGTAAAGGAATGGGTTTTGTGTAGGCCTCTAGATTTATAAAAAACTATTTTAAATTTCAAGGAGGGAGAGGAGGTATAAACTTTAGAAAGAAAGAGTCTACTAAAACATAATTTTGTTTTTAAACATAATTCTTTGTTAAAATCTCATTGCTAATGCTGCAATGAAAAATGGACTAAAATGTCCTGGTATGTTGTATCTAGAGCCTGTAGAAGAAGATGAGGATTTTCTGTTGATGTGTTAAGGGGGAAAAAATCATGAATGCTTAAGCCATTCTACCTATGTAACAGCAGTATGTGAGGAACTGTTTTACCTAAAGACAGCTTGGTATGTAATATCTGTACATAATTTGGGGGCCCTGTGGAATGATCTGCTGTGTGTTGGAAATTTGAAACCGTTGTCCACTCCCTTGCCGTGGGCAGGGACACCTTCTGTTAGATCAGGTTGCTCAGAGCCCCGTCCAGCCTGGCCTTGAGCAGTTCCAGGGATGAGGCAGTGATGTAATCAAACAAAACCAGGGAAAAAAACCTTGTAAATGTTGAGCAGTTCCACAGGCCTCTTTTTGACTTACGAGTTATTCTGTATAACAGGGTATGAATAAAAATAGAAAAAGGGGTTTTTTTTTAATGTTCTGAATTTGTGTTTTAGAAAGTATTAAAATGTTTGTTTCTGGAACCTATGAATTAAGTTAATGTTGGTATTGAATTAGAGAAAATAAAACTCCTTGGTAATACAGATAATCCCAACCAAAGTTTTTCCTTTGGGGAAAGGGCATGTCTTTATACATAGGAGACTTAGCTGGTGTCATTCTGGATATTTTCTTCTGTTGTTGTAATGACAGGTCTGGGTTAGTGTTGAAGACAGACATGGAAATACTCGTGCTGCCTGGTTTTTTCTCCAATTTGTAAATGATCCGTGAAACACAAATTTATGATAGGGGCAGGATCTTGTGGGCTGTTGTTTTTGGTGGAAAAAATGATTATTTTTTTCTCTTGCTGTGGATAAGCAATAGATAATGCTAACTTAAATTTTAAATTTTCAAGAAGGAGGTCAATGAGCAAAATCAATGTTCATTGTGCTAAAACATATTTACAGTTTCATAAAAACTTTAGTTTCTTATAATGGTCTTGGAACTGCTTAGAGGAAAAAGGGAGTTAGCTGTGCTCTTACCCTGATTCTTGGATTGTCTGTTCTCAGAGACATGGAAGGAAGGGTGGCCATGGTTTTGGACTTCACTGAATTTTGAAAAATAAGCATTTCTCATTAGGCCTTGCAACACCAGAAGAACACTAAACAAATAAAACCACTACCACTGAAAGTTAAAACCAACAAAAAAAGCCAAACAACAAACCCCAAACAACCCACCCAAAAACCACCACAACCAAAAAAATGATGACTCTTTCAAGGTTGGTTGTTTGCTAACAGTGATTTGGGTAGTGTTTATGGTAAATACAGTTTGGGAAGCTTTACCTGCATATCTGTTTATAGATCATTAGATCAAAACTACATATTGAGACAGAAGTACCTAAATTAATATTGGTTTGCAATTGAAACTAAAAGTGCATGACCTCAGCATGATCAGTGGCCTAGGTAGGTAAGATAATCAGCTCTCTCAGTAACCTGTAGAAGAAATTATGTTTTCAGAAACTTAATATTCAACTTCAGAAGTCTTCAAGGTTTGAATTTCTGATTTTTCTTTTTAAGTAATTGCTCTTCTACCATTATATTTTCTGTGTGCATGCACAAATATTTGATTATCCCTTGGAGCTAACAAAAGTTTTGCATAAAATAGGAATCTGTTTTTTAAAATACTAATTTGAAGAAAAATAACTAACATTATTTAAGGATACATTGAAATCTGCTTTCAGTTTTTAAAAAACTAAAATCAACCTAATTAAGTGTCAGCATTACTGGAATAAGTCCAGGGTGCTGATGTGCCTACCCCATAGTTCAGTCTGAAAATTTCTCTTCATTATTTCAGTGAAATTGTTGGGAAGTGATTTCAGACTCCACCTTAACTAAAATTTTGTTCTTCATGAGGGAATATTTCTTTGAGCTGTGAAATTTCTTCGTCAAAAGCACAGAGACACTCAACCCCAGAAGTTAATGGCTTAGAACGACTGAGGCAATAGCAATAGTTTGGGAGCAAAATTTTGAGGATGGAGCATCTATTGGCCACTTTTCCAATGCTAAGAAAGAGTTGTTTGTGCCAGAATGTTGAAAGCACCAGATTGTTTCTTTGCCTAGTATTTGTGCATCTATTGAAAAGTGTTAGTTATGTGTTATCAGCTTTGTCGGGTAACTTCAGTTTGGTTTATTGGCTGGTGTAAACAGATAGATTTAGTGGTGAAAGTAGCTCCTTAAGAGAGCAGTGTTGAGAGGGAAGTTAATTTTAATCTGAACTTGAATAACTTTGCCTGCTGGATGTCACTATTCGGAGAGAAGAGGAGGGAAAGAAACAGCTCTGAATTTCCTTATATTATTTGTTTTTCTAAGCTTATCCTGGCTTTGAAAAGTCCTTATGGAAACCATTTTCTCAGAAAAGAATGAGCCCAGTGCATTGTGTGTGTACCATGGAAAAAGGAGGTGGTTTGTTGCAGCAGCAACTCTTACTGTAGTAAAATACCTTTCATATTTGCAACAATAAAAAAAAACCAATTTAAAAAACCAACAAAACAAAAAACAACCTGTGGAGAAGGAAAAATGTGATTTCCTGGATGAAAACATGAGGAATTGTGATAATGCAGTCTGTTACTAGATTTTAAGAGCAACACATTTCTAGTAGGTTTTGTGACCTGCCTTGTGAGCTTTTCTTTGCTGCCAGGTGTACTCAGTAACAGTGTGCAACAGTTCCTCTCCTTTCTAAAGTATTTTATATGCCCAAATCTTTAATTTCACCTCTTTTTTTTTTCCACATTTATTGCAAATGTACTATTGGCTACCGTTTCTATATTGGGCAATAGATGTACAGATATGTGGAGATTAAATTGTTTAAGTCTCTTGGAATTTCTTGCATGTTGTTATATTAGCAGGGTCATTAAATTGGTCACTAGCTATATCTGTTAATGAAATCCAGACTCCTGTTCAGACTAAATTGGGGAGCACATTTTTTGTATGCTTTCAATATTCAGAATTCTTCTGGAGTATTGGAAACTCTAACTTTTGAAAAGGTATTAGACTAATGAATTTTTCTTTTGGTCTTCCCTCTACAGGTTCGATCTGTGGATGAGATGAATCATGAGTTTCAAGCTCTTGCCCTAGAATCTCGGGGAATGGGAGAGGTAATTATTGAGGGCTGAACATCCAGTTGGTGGTTTGGAAATGTTGATGCAGTTTAAGAAGTCTAAATAATACAACATGAAGCAAAGAGCTTCTCTTAAGAACAAGTTGATTGTTTCTGTCTTAGGTGAAAAGAAACTAATTATGTTAAAAGAACATTGGGTTTTTGACTGGTCCTGCTGTGTCTGTCATTCTTGTTAGATGAGTGATAGTTGTACAGAAGTGAAAGGGTAAGTTTTTATTAGAGTGTACAGTTCTATGAAAGGAGGCATGTTTTCACTCTCATTGTATATAAGCAAGTGGCAACAGCTGCTTGCTACTCCTGAGAAGTCAAGGAGACTGGGATTTAAAAAAAAGGTTTGGCTCCAGAAAAAGTGAACTGGCGTACCCAGCAGAAATATGTGGTAATTTACTATTTTTTCACTGGTAATTACTCCTTAAAAGATTTTAACTAGGTTGAAGAGTGCTGTTACGTAATTTAGCTGGAGGGAAGGAGGACTGTTTCTTTTGACTGATTTCATTTATTTGGGGTTTTTTAAGTCAGTGTACTTTAAGGCTGGGGGAAGGCATTTAAGAACATGAAGGATGGCTTGACTCCTACAAAAGCAGTTCCCTGAACTGTTTAGAAGGTAATTGACAAGTTATTTGACAAGGGGTTATTTCCCCTGATTGGACCTGGTGAGGAAATTAATGTTGAACTAAGATTTCAAATGTGGATCCTTTTTTCTTGCTGGGTATTTATCTAATTCAGTTGATAGTTGAGCCAGTGACAATATTGCACCCTAACTTTCTCAAAATGATGGTAGGAATCTTTATGGATACCGTAACTACTGATGAAACATAAGTGCTGTGTTCATGCTGCTGACTGTTTTTGAGCAGACATATGGCCATTGCTACTTGATTTTTTTTTTTTTTAATTATTTTAAAGAAGCAGTCAGGAATCACATGACTTTTCAGCAATTTTTGCTTCATCCAGGGTTGTCTTTGAACCATCTCCCATTTGAAAAAAATTATAGATGCAGACCTGTTCTTTAGAAACCTGAGTAGCCACACTGCTCCCCTACCAGTTCTTAAAACTCTGAAAAGTAAAAGTGTTAGTGAAGTATCTGTGATAGTACCAGCAGTGTGATAAGAGTGGATGGGTAAAATTTATGGTGGTATTTGATCTTTTGACACCCACAAAGTACTCTAAAAAGATTGAAAGCAGTGAAAATGAAGGATGGCACAAATGCCTGGGAATTAAATTACAGTATAGATTCATTACTGTTCATACCAATCTTCATTTTAGGTAATCTCAGATAGAGGGATATATTTCTGCATGATTAGGAATCTGTTGGTTTGTTGTCTTGGCATTCAGTGGATCTATAAAGATGTTTAAAAAAACCACCCACAAAGAGTCAGAGTTCTGATACTCAATTTCTGCAGCATCAGAAATTGATACTACATTGTGACCCTGCACTCACCAGGTTATTTTGTCTTTTGTTTCAATGGTGTTTTGCAGGTATCTTGAGGTAATACAGGTTCACATAGCTAGATTGACTTACTCAGTAATTTTCTTGATGTATTGCACAACAGTAAAGTAGTTCTGGGATACATTCCATGGCTCTTTTAATCTTCTTCTTGATTATAGCCTTCTAGAATATTAAAGGAAACGTCCTTATAAAGTAAGCTAGAATTGGTAGAGGCTCCTACATGCTATCCTCCATATGCTTTGAAAGGTATGAAAGAGAGGTCATGTCAAGTGAACTGTTCCTAGCTATTGGGAAATCACGTTCCTTATTTTCTGTGTCTGCCAGGATTTTTCTCTGAACTGAAATTAATTTCCTTTTCATAATTCTAATTCTTTACTGATACTTTTTTCACAACTGGGTATCAATACTTGGCATTAGGAGGCTGTTAAGTCTGTGTTGCAGACATCTTTCTCTAAATGTCTTTCACAATTTTTGCTTGGTTAAATTGTTACATTGGTTATTCATAGATGATGCTTCTGGCTGCAGCTCCTAAAATCTATGGTGACCTGTAAGGTCTCATTAGTACTCTAAAGAAATAAGAACACATGGTGCTGTTTCTCTGTAGGTAACTGTTTGCTATATCGGGGCAAGCCAGAGTGGGCTGCAGGACTTCAGTGTAACCCTCTACAGCCACACAAAACTTAGTGCCAAACAGAACAGTAAACTAAATCTTTTGATAATGTCTGTTGGTTTAACTTAAAGGATCAAAGCACCCAGAGTCCATTTTGGGAACAAAGTATTCATTTCTAGTGTCAAAACTTCATTCCGACAAATTCATCTGAGGTGTTCACTGAGCTCTGTAGGAATTACTTCTGATCCTAAAAATAAATTTTAAAAAATTATTTAAAAATCCTTATTTCAGGAGTCAGCAATGGAGACTGTGCAGTTTCATATCAGAGAGCTGGTTAAGAGGCAGAGTTCATATAGCTGCTTGTTACTATTTGTGTGTGGTAAAGAGCTTTGTTTGTCTGGCAGACTCCTAACAGGGATCAGTGCTGGTACTGGAAAGGACACATTTTAGTGTACTTTTGGGAGAGAGTTTAGTAAGAAATACAACCTTCTCCATTATTTTTACTTATAATTGGATGTATCTTTGTAAAGTTTGTGTTTTATTGCACTGAATAGAGAAACTGTTGAGGAAAACACATGCTATCAAAGAGTAAAGCACAATGATTTTAACCATCTGTATTGATTTGAGATGACTTCTAGATTAAGTCTTTTTCGGTAGAACTAATCAAACACATTGTTGTTCCCGTCTGTTTAATTTTTCTGAAAAGTACTTAATTGTACAATTAGAAGAATTGCCAACTGATAGGGCTGTTTATTTGACAAGCCAAGAGCTACTACATTCATTTAAAAAGAGCATAGTGTATGTTATACCCATCTGTCAAAATAAATATTAAATCTAAATCAGTGTCTCTCAGGGAGTTGCAATATTGTAAATTTAGTAAAATTGCATTTATTTAAGTATTCAAGGGACTTTGTTTTGTAGAAATTTTATGAAAATAATTTCAGTAAATCTGTTTCATCTTCCGTAGTTTAAATTTAGCCTCTTGGTATGGATCATGCGTTATATTTTGTGTTAAAGATACTTTACGTTCTTTGTGTAATAAAATGCCTGCAGACTGAAAGTTGAATTTATTTGTTTGAAATTTAAGAGTAAGTAGCTTACAAAAGAAGAAAAAGGGGCAAACCTCAAAAAGCCAAAACAAACCTTAAAAAAACTCAAACAGCAGCAGCAGCAAAATACCCCCCAAAACAACTTGTACCTTTGCAGTGAAGATTATTGCTTCTTTCTACCAGGAGACAATTTTTCCTCTCATACAAATCATATGAATGACTTTTGATATCAAAACCAGTATTGCAGTGTCTTCTGCTCTAAATTCACTTATTGTTCTTAACACTGAGTTGTCTGAACATACCTGTCTGATAGTGGAATTTACTAATTCCAGGGTAAGCATACTTCAGGTAATTCTTATTTTATAGCACTTGAGATATTATTAGATCTATTTTATTCTGACAGGATTGTGTTAGGTGGTGACACCTTCACTTAGGTGTTTCAAAGCTCTCAACTGGACACATATTTGAAATTGGCTTAGATGGCATTTAAAATAAAATATGATTCCCAAAAGCAAGGTTCTTTAGATAAAGTAAAATGCTTCAGCATTAAACTTGTCTTGAGGAGCTCTTGTTGCACTCTTAATACTGGGGCCTGCAAGAGGCAGTCTTACCCTTCTCCTTTTGAGGCTGTTTTCACAAGCTCAGTGTCCCACTGAAATTTATTTAAGAAATATCTGTATTATATAGACTCCTGTTAGTGGTTTCATCAAGGCTCATACTAACCACCTGTGAGGTTCAGAAGGGTTTTTTACTCAGTTAAGTTACAGAAGAAGCAAATTTCCAGAATGTACATATTTGCAGACAGCTTTATCAGATTACATTTGGTCTTTTCTAATTCCACAAAATTTAAAATTCTAAATACAGCATTATATTATGCAGAATCTGATGGATTGTGCAGCTTTCTTCTTCCCTACATTTTGCAAGTTGTTCTAACTTTACTTTCTGTTGATGTACCTTGTAAAGTACTTATTCTGTCTAAGGATACATTAGTTACATACAGGGAAAATATGAAATGTAGAGTTTGGCAGCTGTTGGGGAAAGGTACAGGAATAAACTAGTAAAATCAAAGCAAAAAGGATGCTTGTATTTGAGGAATTCTTGTTTGTGTGGTGGTTCTGTCATGTCTAAGTCTTTCTGTTGTTGAAGACAGTACAAGAGGTACTGGTCTAACATGACACCTTCTGTTTTACAAGTAGGAATGAAAAAAAACATACATCTAAATAACAGTGTTGGTATTTGGAACTTCACATATGAATGTCACAGATTTTTAACAGCCCTATGGTCTAAAGGACCATAAGGACTTGCTACCATATATTTTAGTCACTTTCTAAAATTTGGAACATGATGCATTTCCAAGTGAAGATAAGTTCTCAGTGAACTGCTGCTCTTTCTGGTTATCACAGTATTAGTTAACAGCCAAACTTCTGAGTCTTTGGCAGGAAGGCACTGTTAGTTAAAGCTTCTGAGAAGATTGTCTTGACTTAATACAGGGATTAATTTAATTTGCTTTTTTCACAGCTGCTTCTATAGTCTATATTTCTTCCTCATAACTTCAGATCTCGATACTGTTGGGGTTATTTTAGCAATTCCTTTTTTACAAAAAAAAGAAGCAGAGCAAATTTTTACAAGGGCAGATAGTAGAATGAGGGAACATGGTTTTAAATTAAAAGAGGAGAGATTTTTGATTAGATATAAGGAAGAATTATTTTACTGTGTGAGTGGTGAGGCACTGGAACAGGTTGTATAGAGAAGGTGTCACTGCCCTATCCATAGAAGTGTTCAAGACCAGGTTGGAGTGGCAATCCTGCCCATGGCAGGGAAGGTAGACTTAGATGATCTTTAAGATCCCTTCCAACCCAAACCATTCTATGATTCCATTATGTAAAACTGATTACTCTTATTACTCTTAATATCCTTTTGTTATTTTTGCCCATCTGTAACCATACTTAAATACAACCATCTTCTTTTTTAACAGCTTTTACCTGCCAAAAAGTTTTGGGAACCTGATGATTCAGCAAAAGATGGACAAAAAGGGATATTCCTTGGTGACGAGTGGAGAGAGACTGCATGGGGAACTCCTCGTAAGTGATTGTTGTATATGTACTGAAAAATCAGTCATGATTACTGAATGTTATTCAAAGCAAATTTTGTAACTGAATACTACATTTTACTTTCCTCTCATTTTAGTTTTGAAAATGTATACTGCATGGTGATTGTATTTCAAAAACACTTCTTGAAACCACGATTTGGATTTATTATATCATTTTTTATCTTAATATTGATGTTGTAATGAAATGCACAAACTTTGCATGTTGCATTTTAAAAAATACTATTATTTTATTTATTTGTTTGTTTTTAACAGACCATTCTATGTCCCAGCCTATTATGGTACAGAGAAAGCCTGGACAGGGTTTTCATGGAAACAGTGAAGTAAATGCTGTATTGTCTCCACGATCAGAAAGTGGTGGCCTTGGAGTGAGCATGGTAGAATATGTGTTAAGTTCCTCTCCAGCTGATAAATTGGATTCCCGGTTTAGGAAAGGAGCTTTTGTAAGTAATGCAGTGTGTTAAGCTTGCCTGGTTACCCACTATGGTCTTTATTACATGGTTATATTTCCTATTCTCTTTGTTTTTAATTTTTAACTCTTTAGAAGGAAGTAGTTGCTGTCTCTCTTCTTTGGTTGGAGGGGGCAGAAGAGGGAAGTGGTTTGGGAATCTTAACTAAATAGCTGTCTTAAAGTGCTTTCCTAAAAATTTTATTTAAAAGTAGGAAAAATACTTCAAATAGCTTAATTTAAAATGTGTGATGAGCTTTATTGTAGATCTTCTGTGTTTTCATGTGGGTTTGTTTTATAACTGGATGTTTTAATTGTATAATATAAACATTTCTCTAATTCAAAGTGTTACTGCTTTAACAGCACCGCTATAGTTAAGGTTGAGTTAGCTCTTCCATTATAAATCTTGGCATTCCTTTTCACATTTTGGCAGTTATTAATTGCATGTGGTTGAAACTTGACGATCAAGTGACCCACCAAATGCAATTTCATTGACAACAAACTGTTTGTATTGTTTACGTGCACTGTAGTGTAGAACTAGGTCACCTTGTGGTGCTCCTATTGTGTTCTGTTCAATATTCAGAATCAAACAGATTCTTTTTCCTCAGGGCACTAGAGATGCTGAAACAGATGGACCTGAGAAAGGAGATCAGAAAGGCAAGGCTTCTCCATTTGAGGAGGACAAAAACAGAGATCTTAAACAAGGAGATGATGAGGATGTTACTAAAATAAATGGCAGAGGTTTGCCAAATGGAATGGATGCCGATTGCAAAGATTTTAAGTAAGCTTTTAAACTGTTTCTCAAGAAGACAAGCATGTCTCTTAAGGGCATTATTACAGTTCTGGTTTGTGTGTCAGCTTCAAACATTACCCAGCTGCAGACTGATTCTTCCCCTCGCAAGTCTTTCCTTTCCCACTGTGCCACATGTTTCTTAGGATGTCATTAATGTGTGTGTCACTTCTCATGAGACAAATTCATCTTAACACAGTAACTATTAAAAGTAAATGGGTACCTTCTGAATGTGGTGCATTAAAGAGGGATGAAAACTTTAACCCTTTTAATGTTAAACTAAATTTCTTTCTCTCTCTGCTTCTTTTTAATGCTCTTTTGCATCTGAGTGTTGTAGAGAGTAAGTCCTACAGAATTTTAACTTTCCTTCCGATTTTGCTAGTGGATACCACAGCCTAACACAACTAATCATCTCCCCATAAATCTTCAATTAAGGTGCAGCAGTGTATTTTCCTATTCACATAATTGTCACCCAAGGAATGGTGTTGTGGTTTGGTTGTTTTTATAGGGAAAAATAGACTGGACCAAGCTCAAGCTTCTGAACAGTGACCTCTTATATGACAGGAGAGCCAGTCTGTTTGGTTTTTTTTTTCTAACACTGAACTGTATTTTAAATTGGGTATTTTTTAAGGGCTGATCCTTCTTTCTTGAATGACTGTGATGCATTTGTAAGTGTCATACAGAAGAATTAAAAAGATAGAGAACTAGAGTTCTGCTCATAAATTTGTATTAATGTGATGAACATGACCAGATAGTTGTGGTTTCATTAGTTCATTACTGAACTAGTATATTAAAATGCATGTTTGAATCCCATACGTAAGTATTTCCTACCATTTTAAAAATGTATTACCTGAGGCTAAAGAGAGATTCTTGAGGTCTATTTTTCAAGACATATCCTTGAAAATAATACAATGCTAAGCATACCAGAGAGCTCACATTGGCTCCTTTCAGTTGTGTGCTGCAATATGCACAGTAAACAAAGTTACCTTCGTTTTTACACATAGCAAATACAGAATAACTTCTGTCCGGCTTTTCTTTACCAGTATCTATTTCAATTTTGAAATAGGTGTTTGTGAAGTACTTTGTATTTCATTTAAAGAGAGAAGTTATTGAAAAATACACAAATGCAAAAAAGCATCCAAAGCCAGTAAACCTCTCAGAAAAATAAAAAAAAAATAAGGCCATCTAAATGAAATGGGCCATATTAAGTGGTGGTATAGAACCCTCCAAAACAGAGGTTTATAATTGAAGTATTGACACAACTTTAACTATAGCAACAGAACAGCACCAATGTAAGGAGCAACCTGTATTATCTAACCATAAGTATTAACAAGAAATTTCATCCTGTCCTCCTCATTGTATTTTTATTGTACTTGTGGCATTTTTAAACTAAGTATGTACTGAAATAACTGCCTTTTTTCCTTTTGTTCTTCACTTTGTTGATGCTGTATTTCACTTGGGAAAAATAGGGAATATTAAAGGGCTTTAAACTCAAGTTTGCAGCAAGACATGGTTGCTTGCTAGGATACTTAGATGGTAAGCCAACATGTTCCATACAATCCTCATGAGGTTGATTTTTACATTAAAAAAACCTCTTGTCAAAAACCTGCTCCTTTCTTTGACATATTTTGTCTAGAGTAATAAATCATACAGTGTTGCTGCAATAAACACCCTAAAAGGCTGATTTCTAGCTGTACAGACTTAGGTGTTGTTATCAGCCATTCCATTCAAGTGCTAGTAGATTTCTTTGCATTAGTCATGGGCTTCAGTGAGGAAGAGATACTTTGGCTCTGGAGCCCTGAAGAGGAAGCAGAACAGATAATACTGAGGCTGTGTCTCTGACCTAGAGCTAGCAGTACAGCAGACTGGTCTGGCACTGTACTGCTGCAATAAACATAGGTTCTTCCTGCAAGATGACATTTGGAATTTGAGCCTAGTTTTCACAAGTAAAGCCAACTAAACTAGAAGTTCTGCATTTCCTGAGAAACAGTATATAATCACAAAGTTCTGCCAATGCAATAATGTTAGTAGATCATAGATTTTGTCACACAACTCTTTCCTAGTCGTTAACCTAGATTTTTGCCTGTAAAAACTGATAGTCTAAACAATATGGCTTCCCACAGAAAGTGGGATACCACTCCAAATTAAAGTATACTAAATCTAACCAAATAGTGTTGGAATCTCTTTAGGATGTTACTCTGTTGACATCTCACCTCATCAATTTGCTTGTAGGTGTTTATAGATGTACAAAAAGTCCCCTGTAGACTGCCAGTCAGATGAGAGAGCAATTCAGCTTTGTATATATTATTGTATCTTTGATATTGTATATTCTATTCAGTGTTACATTAGGAACACGTTTTCCCCACCAATCATCAGTATAGTCTATTAAATGAGTTGTGTAGGAAATTAAATGTTTCAGTCACATGCTAAATGAAGTGGTTATTCGTTTATTTTACTCAAGGTAAAAATATATTACTTGCTTTTCAGTTGTTAAAAATGGTTGCTATATTGTATGTTTGCCTTTTCCAATTGAAATTTTGCTGAGTCTTTCGGTTCTGTGGTGTGAGATGCCCTTAACCAATTTCTTTATTTAAATTTCTCTACAGTACATTTCTTGTCACTACCAAAATACAATAAAGAGGCATTTGAAAATTTGCAGGTGACCACAAAACAACCTCACAGATCAGTTTGTTTTTCTCACAAGTGATTTGAAGAGCTCTATAGTCAGTCTTAAACTTACAAGAGAAAACCAAATAAAATTATGCTTTAGAGTTCAATGCATCCTTTATCTTGAGCCATCAATGCGCATGCTGGTTGAAAATGTTAAAATCAGTCTGTCCCTTCTGTTTGTAAAGTCTCTTGAGTTCAGAGCTGCTTTGAAAGTAGAAATACTGTACTCTGTCCTTGGACAGCTTTATTTAAGACTGAAGAGTCTGTCTTAAATTTCTTCTGAACAGTCGTACCCCTGGAAGTCGACAGGCCTCCCCAACAGAAGTAGCTGAACGCCTGGGCCCCAATCCCAGCACCACAGAAGGATTAGGTCCTCTTCCCAATCCTGCAGCTCACAAGCCTCTGGTAGAAGAATTTTCAAACCCAGAAAATCAGAATCTAGATGCCATGGAACAAGTTGGTCTTGATTCTCTACAGTTTGACTATCCTGGCAATCAGGTACAAATGGACTCTTCAGGAGCTACTGTAGGACTTTTTGACTACAATTCTCAGCAGCAGGTTAGTAATGAAATGTGGAAAATTGATCCTTTAAGTTGTTGATTATCTTCTTGACAATCAGTCATTTCAACATGCAATGCATTCACTATTATTTTGTGACTTAGTCAAGGGCGAATAACTATAATTAATAATTAATCTAGAATAATATTGTTGCATAATTTTCTAGTTTAGTAACTTTAGTAACTTCGTTACAGAAGTTGGTTTGACGTTGTTTTTCAGTAAGCAAATCCAATTATAGCCCTGACTTTTGAAAACTGAAATGAATATTTTCTCTTTTTTCCCCCAATAGCTTTTCCAGAGGACTAATGCTCTGACTGTTCAGCAGTTGACAGCAGCCCAACAGCAGCAATATGCACTGGCTGCAGCTCAGCAGCCACACATAGGTGAGGTTTCTGTATAATGCAGCATGTGTCCCTGGCAAAAGTGGGTGTGTTGCTTTGATAGACTCCTTTCAATTTATCCAGTCTTCTCATTCAAATAGATACTGATCACTTGGCTTCTTGCAGTGTTCTCATGAGAACTGCTCAGAATGACTGCCTATGACTGTACTGTCCTTAATGTAGGCTTTCTGTTGTAAATTTTCCCCTTTGGACAGTTGTATACAAAGAAATAAAATTTATATTTGCTTCTGTAGCATAGTAGTTGAATGTTGATGGGAGTGAAAGTTAAAAATGCATACTGCTATAAGCAGTAATAGAAACACTAGCTTTATATACTAAAAACCAGTATGCAATTCTAAGATTCTGTTGCAGTTTAGTATTTTCAGTAATCCAGTTAAAAACCATTGTAGAGTAGAATTTTGAAAGCATACTGTTGTGTTGATTAAGTTTTAATTTTTCCATGTTAATGGAGCCATTTAAACAACTCTTTCTTCTTGCAGGTACCCTAATGAGCTAATTCTTTAGCAGGCATTTTTTCAGTGCCTTTAGTTCGGTGAATTAGTTAAATACATCAAGTTCTTCATGAGCTGCAACTCAACAAGGAGCCTTCATTTCAGTGACATCAATTTTATGTTCCACTGTGGGGAAGCTGTTGGTGTTTAGGTGAAGGAAGTTGGAACACACATAGAAACAATTCCTTGTTTAAGGAATGGCGATAGTTGGGGCTTAAAATTTCTACCCTCCCCAGTTCCACTGGATTGTTGAGATGTGTGCACAAATGTCTTTCCTCTGTGAGAAAAAAAGGATTCTTAGGATCAGAAAGGCAGGCAGAAGTAGGAGGTATCTGCAGTGACTTGTGTCCATGCTCTCCTGCAAATAAGTTTTCCTACCAGCTTGTTGTTTAGGTAGGTTGTGAGGTCTGCTCAGACTGGGATCAGCAGCCTATAGCTGGGATTGAAAAGTGGCAGCTCTTCACAAATACAGGCTGAGAACCCAGAAACGTGGCAGATTGAGATGTTTGTGTGACTCCACAGGTCCTGTCTTGGACTTCTAAACTTTGGAGAAGCCTCTGCTTTGTATGAAGTGCTGACTTGAGTAGTTACATGAAAATTTTCTTTTTAAAATGCAGCCTCTTCTCATGTGCTTATTAATAGAAAACTATCAAAAAATATTTGGAAGGAGGGACATAGTTTGATGTGCCTTGCTTGCTGAGTCAGTGTTGGATAAAGTATGTGAACCCGACTGACTGGGGAAACACTGGGTGATGATGCTTTGTTTGCTGCAGTTTCTGCAGTTGTCTCCTTCCATTACAATTCCTATATCAAATTATGATTCTTGGGAAGTAAGATTAGTATTCATATGTGACTGTTTAAAAGCTAGGTATCTGACTTTAACTATCTGGTTAAATTTTTTCCTGATTGTCAGTGAAGAGAGATTTTTGTCTCTAGCAAGTGGTTTATTTCATCTGGCTGATTCACACACTAGATGACTTGTCTGCTAGAGATTTCATTGCAAGACTAGTTTAACTTTTAGATAGTTAAGTTGGGCAAGATAAATTCCATTTTGAATAATCCCTTCTGTGTAAGGATAGATAGACACATATGAGATAAATCTCCTTGGAGTCTTTAGATCCAACAAAACAAAGCTTTTAGGCCTTGGGATTAGTAAGAAAGGACTGATGAGAAGACATAAAAGTGTTGTTTTCTGTAATTATGTACCTGGTCTTAAGAGCTTCCAAGGTACAAGCAGTTCTGATTTTAACAGATAGGCTGTGTGATTTGGGTGGTGTGAATGTGATGATGCTTGCTAAGAATGTTGGCTGTAATGAAACTCTGTTTGTTACTGCAGCAGGCGTATTCTCCGCAGGCTTGGCTCCAGCTGCTTTTGTGCCAAACCCATATATTATCAGCGCTGCTCCTCCAGGGACTGACCCGTACACCGCAGCTGGATTAGCTGCAGCAGCTACCCTAGCAGGTAACTGAACACTGAGAAGTGTCTGTCTTGATAATTCAACTGAACAAAAAGAGAAAAAAAGTCTAATCTGTCCTGGTTATCTCTGCAAATGTAGTTCTAGGAAGGAGAGACTTGTAAAAAAAATGAATACTGCGGTTTGGAAAATTCTTACTACAATAGAAAAGATTAGAAAGGTTTATTATATATGGATTCCAAGTTTCTCTTGCCAGTGGACTTTACAAAATTTAGGGCTTTTTTTCTGTCCTAAAAGTGTTTATCCTTAGTAAGGTCAATCTGACTTTGACAATATTTATTATTTTCAAAAGATGTGACACTTAGCCTCTCCTTGTATATTTTTACTCAGTGCATTAATTTTCTAATTCCAGATTTTCTCATTCCCAGTGGGCATGAGAATAAAGATGGTCTCCAGCATGCTAAAAGGCCCAGATAACAGAGAAACACAGGAAAATATCTTAAAAAGTTACTAGATATCACTGTGATACAACATAACTGAATATTCAAGTCCCAGGTAGTGCTCAGACTTGAGCATAACATTAAAAAAAACAAACTCCCTTGTTTCCATATGGCGTTTCACAGGGAAGGCAGTAGAAAAAAACTAAAAGACATACATAAATAATGGTTTATATGTACAACCCCATGATACAGAGAGATTATTCTTCTACAGGTTCTTTATCAATCGACTGGAAGAGTTAAGTGTGCCCACTTAGAAGAGCATCATGTATATGCAGGGGAGGCACAAGCAATAGTGTTTATAAGCAAGGTCATCATACAGAAAGGAGGAATTGCAGATTATCAAAGTCTCAAGTACATCACTATCAGGAGGATAAATTTTGTTCATACTGTGATGTTCTGAAATTATTTTTTCTTCCAACCATGAAAACTGATGTTGAATGTTCTTTGGTACCCAGACTCTGAATGCTTTAAGGTTTTTCTTTGTCATATGAGTCTCACAAGGGTTTTAATTTTTTCATAGAGAAGATATGACTTGGTGTGAATTTTTAAAATTAGCCTATTTGTATTCACGTGTCATTTTAGCTAATGTGGGAATTCTTTCTTTTTAATACTGATTTCTCTTACAAAAATGAGAAGATGGATCAATGAGGGATGCTACAAACAGTATGTTAAGCAACTGCACTAGATGGAATAATGATGCTTTCTGGTTTTAGGTCCTGCTGTGGTTCCACCTCAGTATTATGGTGTTCCATGGGGGGTGTATCCAGCCAATTTATTCCAGCAGCAAGCTGCAGCAGCAAATACCACAGCAAATCAGCAAGCAGCTTCTCAGGCACAGCAGGGACAGCAACCGGTATGTTCAGCATGAAAAGCAGAGGTGCCTCACCTTAACATTCCAGTGTGTAAGGGTCAGATGCTGGAAAACTTTACATAATTCAGATGTTACATTTTATTGTATTATAAATGAATGTTGAAGGCTCTCAATTTCCATACTCATTGTCACTATCTCACACCATGTTAAAGTTATTTTACAGTCTTGTTTCTTAAGACATTAAGCATTAAAAATGGTTCCTTTCTTCCATTTGCTGTGCTGTTATGTGTATAGGTGATGCTTCCTGTGTAGTAAATTAATGTAAAGTTTAATCTAGGAAACTGACATAAGGCGATGAAAATATACATTCTGGCAATTTTAGTAGGACATTGTTTCTTTTATGCTTGAGAAAAAACTAATCTATGTTTTTGTAAATTAGCTGGAAGTTTGAATTTTACACATTTTTTGTCCCTTCAAAAAGTAGGGAAATAAATGTATTACCCATAGTTTTGTTGCTTCACAGGAAGGAAGGATTGCCCAGCTTATTTTTCTGTGACATTAATTGTATTGCAGCATCACCATGTGCCATATGGTGTTTTGCCTTGATGAAGCAAGTGTGAGCAATTGTTACAAGAACTTGTTGAAAATTCAGTTTCTTTTAAGTATTTCTTTAAAAATGCTAATTTTCTGTTGTTACTCTGGATACATTTTTTAACTATTGTATGAATTTTCAGTAGAAATGAATGGCAGTTTTGACAAAGGAAAACCCCAAATTTTACAATAATTTTTCACTCGAATGAATGTAAACATTTCAAAATTTTTATCATCAATATGGTTAATTTCAATTCCATTCTTAGAAATGTAATGCAAGAAGTCTGAGATACCATGTAATTCCAGGGGTTTCATCACTGTTTTTATGTTCAGGTAGATATTTTTCTACTGATTGTTTTTATCAGTGACCTGCATTGGTAACTGAATGTATATTGTCTCTGCAGTTTCTTTTTGTTTTCTCTATAAAATTAATATCAATTTATGCAAATAACATATGCAGTTCTTTGTGGGGATATATTGTGAGTTGTATTTCTCCCTTATTTTGGACCTGAAGAAGTTGATTTTAACCAAGAGAAATAGGGTAGTTGCAAGAATTTAGATTGCTTTTCCGTCAGATTCCCGGAGATTTGCTGTCAGAACATAATGAAATATGCCTGCGTTGCATGGTGATGGAGTGTTATGTGAATGTTTAAAACTTAGTGGGTGCATTATTTACAACATTGTTGGCAGTGGAGTATTAATTATGTAGACAAGTTACTACAAGTGCTGAAATGTTCCGATTTACATCATGCAGTTGCCTGGAAATAATGTAAGCAAATGTGTTTATCAAGGAAGGTCAGGTACTCAGGTAATAAATAATGTAGGTTGTAAAATGTATCACTCTTACAGATTTTCTTCCTTCCTTTATACTCATTACCATTGATGGAACATACTTGAGTCCTGATGTCCAAAGCAGGGCAGATATTTTATGGTCGTGTTTATCAACAAAATAGTATATACCTTTTATTCTTTATATGCGTATATTCTGGAAACCAGTGAGATGCAGGATTTCCAAAGTGAAAAGCAGGGCTGAGAGGCATCAGATACTCAAAGCAACTGTTCTAGGCCTTTGTTAGCACATAATAGATTGGCTTCCTTACCCTTTAAGGAAGGAGTGTTGTGTCTGCCTTTTCCAGGTCCTGCGAGCTGGAGCAACTCAGCGCCCGCTCACTCCCAACCAGGGGCAGCAAGGGCAGCAGGCAGAGTCACTTGCAGCAGCTGCAGCAGCAAATCCAGCTTTGGCTTTTGGTCAGGGTCTTGCTACAGGCATGCCAGGTATGTATGTTACCAGTGGATTAAGAGACTCACAGAAAGTAAGAGTATTGGTGTTATTAGGTAATGGATTAACAAAGTCCTGTTCCATCTATGATAAGCTGCTTAGAATTGAGTTTTATAGCTTTGTGTTATTCAGTTGGTTTAAAATACTGGCACAGTATTTTTAGAGCACAAGAAACTCCTCTTGCATTTGTTATTTGGAGCATTTTCTCGGTATTTGCTGTTACAAATGTATGCACAAGAAATATCATTGATTTTTGCAAGGTAATTTCATATATAGTGAAGCAACTACAAGCTGTCTTAAAAATTCTTTTGTTCTCTGGTTCCTCTGCAACAGGAAGTATTAAGTTTTGTTAGAATAACTTTTATTTGGGACTTAATAATATCTAAAGTCCAGAATCCAAAATTAAGACTTTTTTTTAAATTACTGCTTGATTATATCTGAAGATCGTAAAATCCTTGGAAGCACTCCAAAGGTTGGAGCCTTCGATTCTTTTAGTGTGCATGGCTTCTGACTTCCTGAAGAATGGTTTGTGTGTTACGGAGTGATTAGCTTGAAGTTCTGCATCTAAGTGTTGGGTAGTTACCTGAGCAAGAGCAATTTCAGTGTACTTGGGTATTCTTCAGTATGAAAGTTAAGGTTCTTACATAGTTAAGTTCGACAATGTTGATCCATTCCTTGGACCTGTACAAGTTCTCTCCTTGGTCGACACCACTGTGAGATACCCTGCGGCCTCGAGCCAGAGTTATTTGCTGCATGCTCTGGGGCTGCATTGTGCACTTGGCCTCCCTTGAGCACATTTTAGGTTTTAGCTGCAGAGCAGACTGCCTATTGTGTTTTTCCCATCTGTTTTCTTTTGTAACTGTAATTTCTATTTCTTCTCATACAGTAGTTATCTTCAGCTTTTAGCATCTTTCTCCTAAAAATTAACCATCTTTGCACAAGCCTCAAAGGCTTGGCTATGACTTTTTTTTTTTTTTTTTTTTTTTTTTTTTTTTTTTTTTTTTTTTTTTTTTTTTTTTTTTTTTTTTTTTTTTTTTTTTTTTTTTTTTTTNGTGTGTGGTGTACATTTGTTTATAGTTACTTACTAGTTCTTACTTTGCATCTGGAGAAGTAGCTGTCTTAACTCAAGACTAGTTTGTAAAGCCTATAAATACCTCCCCCCTCCCAGGTAGATGATTAAAAGTAATACTGAGTTTAATAACCTCAGTAGTGCAAGAGCCTGTCCTTTGAAGAAGGTACTTGAAGACTTTTTTTCTCTTCCACAAGCTCCAAAAGGTTTTCTGTGAGGGCAAGAGCCTTTTTATTCAGTTTCTATTGTAGGTTCTTGCTTTATCCTGTCTGATGCTGCAAGCCTGGATGGCCAGAGAGGAACTTTATTCTTTTGAATATATTTCAGACTGTTGAGTAATAGGAATTGTGTGCAACTGACTTAAGCTTTATCAACCACACTATTACAGGGAATAGAGCCCAAAATATAAAGACATTTTTTCAGGCATCATCAGATGGGTTTGTAGTGACTCATAGGAGTAGTGGTGATTCCTCTTTTTAGGGTAAGAAGAATATAGAATGAGGAAGTGAATACACGCCTTTATATGTGGGAATCTTGTTACTGGGTTTGGTGTCTGTATTTGAGACAGATGCTTGGGCTCCATGTATAAGCAAAGAGAAATAAGAACTTGATTTGTCTGCCTCTGTTTTAGTTTCCTGATTTAGGATAAAATTAGTTTGGCTCCAGAGATGCATTTTTCTATTACCTTACTATAAAATTGAATCAAGATGACTAAATAATATCTAGATACCAAAATGTGATTCAGTGAATCCCAGACAACAACCACTGAGCAACACATGTAATGTAATAAACAAGATTTCATGTGGAATTCATGTTTCAGTGGACTAGGATGTTTTACAAGAAAGTGAAAGTCTAACTTGAGTTTCAAGCATTTAAACACTCTTTATAGAGAGAATATTTATAGTCTGGCTTCACTGTGAACTAGCAAGTCAGAGTATATTGTTCAGCTTGTCCATGCTGCTGTCCTGGTATTTGAGCTGCTTTCTCCTTGTCACAGCCTTTGTGTCAGATGAAATTGATAAAAATGTTATCCCAACTATTCAATGGCTTTATTTTTAAATTTGGTATTTCAAGTGTTTCTTTGTTAACTGTTTAGGAAGGTGTCTGTGTCACTTAAGATACCTATCTCATTCTACATGCAGAGAGAAAGTGCTTGAAATCCAAGCTACTTTTCACATAATGCCACTGTTAAGTCTCCTTTCAGAAAATCATAGAATGATAGAATGGTTTGGGTTGGAAGGGACCTTATAGATAATCTCGTTTTAACCCCTTGCCGTGGACAGGGAACCTTCCACTAGACCATGTTTCTCAGAGCCCCATCCACCCTGGTCTGGAAGACCTTCGGGGTAAGGTGCCAACAGCAATCTGGGCAATCTGTTCCAGTGCCTCACCACCCACACAGTAAAGTTTGTTCCTAATATCCAATGCAAAGCTGCCCTCTTTCAGTTGGAAGCCATTCCCTCTTGTTCTATCACTTCATGCCCTTGTAAAAAGTCTCCAGCCTTCCTGTAGGCCGCTCTGGGTAATGGAAGGCTGATAAAAGGTAAAACTTAAAATTCTTTTTTAAAACCACTTAATGTGAAATGCATTTTGCATTGAAGTTACACAATACCATTTTAAATTCTTCCTGTCCTAGTTGAGCAAGTCATTCAGTAACAAAGATTCTTCAAAACCAGAGTGTTTCCTTCCTAATATATGTGCAAGAAAGTATCAGAGGATATTCCCACATTCATAGGGCAATTAGTATACATTCTGCTTATGAATAAAACCAGTCCTCATCAGAGGCAACTTCCAGACTTGGCTTAATCATCCAAAGTCAGGAGTCTACTTGAGACTTCAGCTGTCTTAAGGAGTCCAGTGGAGATCTCCCTTGTGCAGTTGCTGTAAAGAGACTGCAGAGCTTCTCAGCTTACCCTAAAATAGATGTCTATAACAGCAGGTCAGCCAGATCCCACCAGAGGCTCCACTGACTGTGCTGACTAGGTCAGATACAACTTAGTTTTTTATGGAGCTCACACAGTAAAGGTGTCATGGTGCATCTTGCTTGCAGGTAGACATGTGAAGTGAGTAGTCTAGGAAATAACGCCCAGGTATAAAGCATTAAAATCAACAATTTCTGTCAGTTGGCATAGCATTTTTTTGTTTTATTGCCTAGAGGATTTTGAAGTGTGACATTGCAGTGGGTAGTATGAAATAGAATTCAAATTTCACTGTGGCAGATAGACAGCATAGGCAAGGTACAGTGATTATAGAAAGGATAAATGGGTTACTGGCTGGATAGTGAGTTCTGGATTTGATTTGTGAGAGAATGTGCAGAGATAAGGCTGAGCATGTCTTCATCAGTACAAGCAAAAGGTTATAGGGGTTCAGGTTTTGGACAGAGTTGGAGAGGGGAGAGGATGGCATTTTTAAAGGAGCAGATAATTGAGTTGGTAGTAAGGAGTGTTACATCTGTTAAACTGTGTGTAGAGAGAAGTGGCAAACTGGCATATACTTGGATGTCATCTCTGAGGGAAGTTGCACTACTAGATGGGTAAGGGCAGTACTAAGGATGAGCTGCATGAGCCAAGAGAAATTTCACTTCCTCTCATTCTTTAGGTGTATTCAAAGTTTGTGAGATAAGAATCAGGAAATTTTTCAGAGTCTGTGGTTTCTGGAGACATTTAGAAATTATTTCAGCCAAACACTATAGTTATAAACTAAATTGTTTACTTTCACATTCTCTGCTGATCCAGAGACAGTAAGTGTAGATAGAGCAATTAAACTCTAAAGTAAAGGTGTGATTAAGAACTGATTAGGAAACAGCATGTTTCAGTTTTCTGACTGCATGGGAACACCACAGTGAACTTGAATCTGAAGGCACTAAAGTGAGATTGATAATTGTTAGTTTTGAGGGGAAAGAGCACAGCCACAGGGAGAGATGATGATGTGATGGAAGGTAATAAAAACTGAAACAGGAAGAGAGAATTGGAGAGGAGATCTGCCAAGTCACCACCTTATCCCTGATAAGAGAGAAGGCAGGGGAAGATTTCTATATTTGTGCTCAGGTTTCTGGGATGAAGCACAATTTGTGGAATAGTGGAAAGGAGAAGATCTAAGTTTTGCTGTGAGAGCTCTTCTTCAGTTATTTAATCTGATGTTAGATGGTCTCTGAAATTTTATTTTTGCTATCAAAGCAAAAAATTTTATATTTCTGAGGCTGCAGATGCACTTAGCAATGTTTTAGCAATTTCACAAACTGTCAGTCCTATGTTGCTTTGTTGTGGTAGATTTAAGTAGAAAGCTGAGGCCTGTTTTGGTTCAGAATGTATTTCAAGAAATTGGAAAGAGATGAACCCATCAGTTTTTATTCATAGCTTGAACCTTCTGTGACAGTATCTAGATGCTATTGACCTAGCTTATCATTACTTATTTAAAATGTACTGTCTGTGGGTGGATCACAGGTTCATATAATGTCAGAGAAGTGTCTGGAGGGCTTGGGCATCTTGTAATGTAAAGAGCAAGTGCAAATTGCTTCCATTTTTTAAATTTAGCAGTTATATGAGTAAATTATTTTAGAAAATCTAATATTAATATATTAAACTACATCAGTATTTATTTCAGTAAATTTAATTTATGCAAAGTGTAAGTTATCTTCCCTTCCCCCCTTCAGGTATTTTGCATTGGAAAATAATCTTGTTAACATTGTGGGCTTGAAGTCATAAAAATCTGTATATTATTTTCAGATGAGCAGAAGGGTGTAAACATTAAATCAGTGGGCGGTTTCTGCAGTTATACTTAAACAGTTACAGCATTATCCATGGTTTTGTGAATTTGAAGAGGGTAGGTGGGCAGAGTAAATACTGGTGAGCATTAGCCAGTTCTGAGTTCAGAAAAAGTGGTTTTATATGATAACAGCAGGAACAAACAAAACGTGTTGTTATCAGTTGAACCTGCTACGAGTAAAAGCAGAAATTATGTGGGTACCAGTAATTAAACATTGCTAATGTGTGCAGGAACATGTGTTATTATAATTAGCTTTCATACTGTGCCACTAATCTAATATTTTGTGTTATCTGCAGAACTACAGTAAAACAGACAACAATTTGTCACCTTTCCCTACCTTGGGAATGTAGCAACCTTTCTTACTGGTGAAGGGGTAGAGCAAAGCACATTTTTGTAGGTGGAAGAGGCAGTGGCACCTCTAGCAAAGTATTTCTAACTAGTTCAAGTGTAAGAGCCTGTTTTGTTTGGTTTTAACTAGCCAAATTTTCAGACAAATTACGTGGAGGACAACTGTCTTCTTGTGCTGTTGGTGAGAAAGAGAAGGTAGATGTGCCTGGAATGCAAAGCAAGTAGTGAGCAGTGAGAACAGACAGTTTTAGAATTATAGCAGTGATGATTTTTTATAACCAGCATAATGCATTCACCTCCAGAACTGTGAATTGAACCTAAAGATCTGGATTTTCATTGCTCCTCTCCTGTTCAGTGCTACCTGAGTCTCCTTCATATCTTCATATTTTCTTAGTGTGTGAGAATTTGGACCTGTGTATCCAGCTTTCCTACAGTGCACTGTAACCACCAGGCCAGAAGGGAGATGATGTTTCCAGCTCTTTTTTGGACTGTGTCTAGGCAGAGGAGATTACAGAGATGTTTTTGAAATTGAGGAGGAGAAAATACGACTTGGAAGGCTGATGATTGGGGTACTTACCTTAAATCAGAGATCCAGTTACATTCAAGTCCATACGCATTTCAGAGAGAAATCTGCTAGACCTAGTTCTGAACATACAAACCAACTGATGGGAACTGCTGACTTAAAATAGAATGCAAAATTTTTGTTCTTACATGTACAAAAATAGATGTGGGACTTTTGCAATCTTGTCGTTTTTCTTAATAGTGTTAGTGTGTATTTGAACATGGGAGGAATATTGTTTCATAAGAATAGTCTACCTATCAATTAGAAATTGTTATATTTTAAATATCAGCACCCTTTCTTAGATTATCGTAGCTTGTCTTCCATTTTTGAGGGATTCTTATTCCAATTCATTTCTCTTGCTCTTGTTCTAAATAAAGGTATTTTTTTGCTTGGCTTTCTTTTGTCTCTTTTGCTTTTCTTTGTTCATACATTGTATCCTGTATTTCTTCCTACTGCTTGCTTTTCTCCTTTTTCAACTCCCCCTCCATTTCTTCACCAGTTCCAATTCTTAACTGTCAATGGAATGAAGTGTTATGCTTGGATTGCAGTCTTTTTTATTCCTGTGAAACTGGCTGGTCCAAGGTACTCCTGCACACACAGCATTCCTTTCCTAATGTGTTTTTTACAGATGGACTTTTAAGTGTTGGTAGGGAATGTGTGGAATTGCCAGACTAGCATTTAGCTCAGCCTTTTAATTGTGCACATCTCAAGAGCTTCTCCATTGACAAAGGAGTACAAGAGAAATGTATTGGTTTTTTAACTGCTGAAAGAAATTGATTTGATAATGATCCAAACACTGCCAGTTGTGTTGAACCTATACCTTCTCAATATGTTAGAAACTTTAACCTTGACAGTAAGTTCAACTTTGGACAACTAATTTTAGCAGTTATTGTAGTTGTAAAAAATTACCTGAAGCATTTCTAAATCGGATTTTGTTCAGTTTTTTATGGTCTTTACTGCTTTTTCTTTGATGTCCAGTGTGGCAGAAAATGCAGTTTGTGGTTAGAATATTTCAAGGAGAGAGGAAATGCTGCCTGTATGAAGCTATCTGTACCACTGATCCTTGTCCTCTATGTTGTGTAGGTTACCAAGTGCTGGCTCCCACTGCCTATTACGATCAGACCGGTGCCTTAGTAGTAGGCCCTGGAGCAAGAACTGGCCTTGGTGCACCGGTCAGATTGGTGGCCTCAACTCCTGTTCTAATCAGTTCTGCAGCAGCACAAGCAGGTAAATATTTAATCCTGCGCAGAGGTTTCTTTCACTTCTCTACTGAATCTTAACAGTAATGTTGATTAGTATTTGACATCATTGTTTTCTGTGCATCAGTGAAGTTTCCTAGTTGTGAAGGATATCCTGTGCATGCTTGCTTTTTTTTTTCTGTCTTTTGTTCTTACTCACAGATGGGGTTTTCCATTTTTAATTGGAATTTACAGTCCTATTCCCATCATATACAGGCATGTTTCTGCAAATGTTACTTGTCAGATAGGAACATCTTCTCCTTCCTCTGCCCATGCATTATAACATGCACTTCTCATCAGTCCCCTAAATGGTGTCCTCTAGGAAGCATCATTTCATTGCTTCGGCCTGGCAGAAGATGGACTGCTCTGGAACCTTGCTATGCTTTTCTCATTAAACTTATTTTCTCCTGAAAAATGTGGCAAGGAGAAAGCTATGTGTAGAATGGAAAGTAAAAGAAGAGAATTAGTTATATCAAAACTCTCCAGATTCCTTTTTTTTTACCAGTTGTCAGATCTAGTATTACTTTACTGAACCAATTATTGCATTTGTTGAATTAAAATCTAGAATATTAACCCTGGATTAATTAACTTGATCTGTTCAGAAAATTAGATTTTAAGTTAATCTATCAGCTTCTTCGTCTATGCAGAACTCACTTCTGACAGTAGCTGAAGATGTCTTTGAATGACTCTTAGCTGCAATTCTGCCACTGCTACTTTGGATATAAAAAGTTCAGTAAACAGTAATGTCTTATATTAAAATTCCCTCAATTACATTAACAATTCTGCAGCCTTGACCCTAAAACATGTGCTGTCTTCACCTTTTTCCTTGAGTAATTAAGATTGTGTAATACTATTAAGTCTCTTAGTCCTTTAATATGTGAATTGCTGCTTGTTTTAAGAGGGCTTCAAGAAAATACATTTTAGTTCTGAATGATCCATTTTCAGTCAGAAATGTTTGAGAGAGTAATTATGATTGAAAACATGTGTTTTACAGCTGCAGCTGCTTCAGCTGGAGGAACAGCAAACAATCTCGCGGGAGCCACGAACGGTCTATTTCGGCCACTTGGTGCCCAGCCACAGCAACAGCAACAGCAAACAAATAGTAGCCTACAATCCAATTCATTTTATGGCAGTAACTCTTTGACCAATAACTCCCAGAGCAGTTCCCTTTTTTCACATGGTCCTGGCCAACCAGGAAGCACATCTCTTGGCTTTGGAAGTAGCAGCTCTTTAGGAGCAGCTATCGGCTCTGCACTTGGTGGATTTGGCTCATCAGGTAGGTTGTTAATATAGTGAGGACATTCTGTGAGACTTTTGTGCTAAGCAAAAAAATATATCTGTATCAGGCATCATATATATACAAATATATTTCTAAAAAGAATACAAAAATAGGTTATTTAAGTTTAAAACAAATTATAGGGGAATAAAAAATTTTTCAATTCACTTGGGTTCTGTATAGAAGATGGATTTTTGAATAATATCCTGTAGTCACAGGTATCTCCAAAATACTATTCCATACCGATCTGTGTACTCTGCCCCAGAAGTTTGTTACTGTTTTTCAGTAAGCAGCTTTTGTTTTAAAAGAAGCCTTCATTCTGTGGTTAAAGTAACAGTTGATGATAGTAAAGATACACATTCTTATGTTTTAGTAATCATGCAAGAAAAATTCCTAATTTTATATTTAATAAATCATACAGTATATGACTTTCTAAATTTGATCTAATATCAAAGTGCTTGCTTCTATAACATTTTTAAAGGATTTATAAAACAAAAATACCTAATACCCAAGAATAGGCCTTGTTAGCTCTAGCAGGTTTAATCTTAGATATAGTTAAGCCTAAATAGTTCTGTGCATTTCTGGGGCCTTTAATTATTCCAACAGATACTACTAAATATTACCAACCTGTTTGTAGTAAAAAAAAAAAAAAAGGCATTTTGTCACATTTCTGCCCTAAAGCACAAATTTCAAATTCACACAGTTTTAAAACATGCAAGGTAGGTTTTTCTTATATTTCAGATTCAGTTTTAGTGAGGCAAGATAAACATTTTTTAAGAATATTTCCTTTTGCTATTAATCTTAAGTTTACAGCACTGAATTGCTTCTTGTTACTAATATTATTTTAATGAAATCAGGGGAGCATGTTTGATTTTGCATATCTTGTAGATGGGTAGAAACTGGGGGAATATTATGCACGCTAACAGTATTCTTTGCAAAATTGAGGAAAATCGGCGCTGAAGCCAGTAATTTTTAAATAATTACAAACTGGCCTAATATATGGGAGAGAAAAAACAGAAGGAAAAGCACACTCTTCAGTGTTAAGTCATGGTAGTTGTTATTTGGTGACTGTGTGACTAGTGGCATCAAATATATTGCATACCAACACAGAGTTTTTTTCTCAGTGTTATTTTTCATAAAATAATCAGAAAAATGTTTTACTTTAACAAAACTAATACTAGGAAGACCAAAATCAGGTTTTTACACTCATCCTGTCCAGCATTTGATTTGAAAGAGGAGACCAAAACATCCCATGTTCAATTAAAAAAAAACTTGAGGCTACTCAGTAGTGTAGGTTTTCTTAATTTTTCCTTAATTTACAGCAAGTAAATTTTATTTACAAAATTGTGCTCGCCAATATAATGTAATAGAACTTGTCCTAAGCTATTTGTAAGGTTTCAGTGAACCCTTAGCAGCTGTGTTTCACTCTAGGTGCAATTTCATTAGTGGTAGATAGTCATAATTTATATATATAAATATTTAATACAGTGCAATTATTTAAGTTCTCTAGATAGAATAGATTTAAGTCATAGTTTTTATCCTGCACTACCTTAAGAACCTCCATAGAACACAAATTTTAGTTGTGTATCTACTTTAAAAAATCAGCATAGCTTTTCCTGGCACAGGAGATTAAGCCTTTTTCTTTTACCAAAGGTCAGTTACAGAGCTTTGTCCAAAGCCCTCAGCACAGAGAGCACATGCTGAAATCTTGCAGCAGTATCCAGGGTGATTTAATTAGCATGGTAGTTTGCACAGGGAAGCAGGAACCCCATACTTTTGCAGTTTTAGAAGTGCTGATGAAAGGTGCTATCTGAACCTGAAATATTTTTAGTAGTATTATTAGAGTAAAAGTATATTGAAAGTGCTCTTCTGCCAAGTATAAATTGTACTTGCACTAATAGCCACTTTAAAAATGCTTCCTAGTTATTTTTTTATTTTTTTAGAGTTCTGGCCTGTATGTATATATGAATTGAATTACACAGATAAGCGCTTAAACAAGTGGTATTCATGTATATGGAGATGAATTGAAAGTTTAATTTTTTATGTGCCACAGTTTCAGCTTCTTTTTAACTCCCATCAGTGTCTTGAAAATGTTGAATTTCAGTTAAAATATAGCCATGAAGACTGATAGATGGCAGAACACATTTTGCCCTTATGGTTTCAGTTTTTGCAGGGGGCAAAAATAGCCGCAAAAAATGCAAAGGTGAGCATGTTCTAGCTTGAATGACTGAACAAAGTAGCAACTGAAAACAGCAAACATACCATATAAATGACTGTATGTACTCACAGTCTCTGTTCTTTTATAATAAAGTTATTCATACTCCATTTTAAAGATGTAGGTACATGATGATAAGTTACTGCAGCTTAACAGGTAGCCAAGAATTAGATCAACTATGGCAGCTTTCCAGATGCTGCCTTCTGGCATGTAACAACTGTAAAAGAATTGGAATAACTTAGTGAAGGGGAAAGAGGAGTAAGCTATTGCAACTTATCTTCTGAGTTTTGTGAGCATTGCTTGTTTTTGTGTGTAAATACAGCTCAGCTGCTTTGTGGTAACTTGTTAAGCTGCAGTAATGTAGCCGAGTAAGAAATGCTGAAAGATGGAAAAATAGCAGTCCATGATGTAGCATTGTATTAACATTTATATGGTTCACTGAGCTGGAGCCTGTAGAGCTGGGCTCAAAGCTTGAGATTTCTTTCAACTGTTGCCTTAATTTGCTCTTCTGGTTTCTTATTCTCAATCTCCTTGCCTAGTTAGTCCAGTATCTTTTCCTTCTGGTTTCTCCTCTAGTATGTCTTCCTTCCCAGTTTCCAGGCAACATTTATCTCCTGCTTTCCTCCTAAGTATGTTTCTGTTTCTACTTGTACTGTGTGATGTTCCCATCATCAGCTTACTATTCCAGTCTTTTTGCCCCACAATCACATATACCTTCTACAGCCTAACTTTTCTTCAGATCTGCTTTCTTCTCATCCTCAGTCCCACTGAAAGTGCTTGCCAGTTTTTCTTGCAGTCTCTTTGTTCGCTCCTTTGTCTTACCTTTCTCTCTTCCTCCTTCTGGTTTCCTTTTTTCTCTTTCCCCTCTCCCTAGTCTATTTCTTGTGTTTGGCTTTTGTCTCCCTGGCACTTGAAATGGAAAACTTCCTTTCCTCATTGCCTCATGGACCTTTCCAACACAGGGTGGAATCTTGGACAGCAGTTTCAAAGTCTGTTTTTGACATGGCACATTGAAATTCAATTGCAGGCACAACCTTAATCAAACATCTTAGACATGCTGTGTATGGTCAGGAGTTTGAGTTTTCAGCTATGAGTCTGTAGCAGATCTGTGCTGAACTTGGATGAACTGTGATTTTGCAAAGATTTTTAGTCCAGTCTAAGAGTGAGAAAATAAAGGTCTCCTGTTGCTGGCATATTTGGTCTGAGTGTATGAAAGTATCAACTACTCAAAGAGGGAGCTAGATTATTTTGGTAAGGATAAAGCGCCTTTCTTTGCCTGTATTTCTGAAATGGCAGTATTAAGACAAAAGTTCTATTAAAAATTTTGTCCAAGAAAGTTCCTGCCATGAAAAATATTAGCCAAGTTGTTAATGCTATGAGAAAACAAATTAGTGTCTTAAAAATGGGAAGTTTCAGGCGACCTTTATGTTGTTCCATGCTGCCAGCTTTAGTAGGAAGGTACTTGAAAAGGATAAAGGTCATAGAAGTAAAAATTCTGACCTTTCCTTTTTAAGTTGAAGTAGTCAATAGTAGTAATCAATTTTCCAAATTCAGCTTAAGAAAGATATTTGTTATTAAAATCCATAATCTTGATTTGGTTCATGATTATAATAATAATTATAATAAAGTTCAGTGTTTAAAACAGGCACTCTTAATTTAATACTTCACTAGTATGCAGCGGATGCTAGAATTTAACATTTCTAAAAACTTTTTATTGTTCTAATTTGTCCTAGACTGCTCATCGCCCTGCTGAATGCTGCTGTGCAGGATAACCAGTCCTTCACTAATACACTGTTATCCAAAGCCTCTAGTCTAATTTGACTTTCAGAAACACTGATAGTCGTAAAAATCATGTTTTTAGTTTCTCACTTAATTTTCCTATCTCTGCTGTGCTTCTCATCTTCTTTCTTGGCTTACTCCCTTTTTATAATACCTTTTCAAAACACTTCATTGAGAGCCATAATTCTGATAGGGAATTTAAAGTAGTCATTTTTTTCCTACAGGTGAGGGGTTCACAAACAAGGAAGTTCAAAAATAGCTGAACAGCAGTATAACTTATTTTGTGAACCCTTAAACAACAAATAATTTCCTCTAGACTTTTTCCTGAAAAGATGTCACTGTCTGACTGATAATTTATGGTGGAAAAAAAATGCTCAAATAATTTAGTGGCAATATTTTTAGAATCATTTATCCTATAAAGTGACATTGTAATCTAATCTTAAACATTCAATATTTGTCCCAAAGCCTGAACTCAGGCATTTAAAACAGACTACTGTAATATTACTATGAGAAGTCTAGTGTGAAATGTTGAAAGACATGGAAGTTGGTGAAATTATTTGCCAGTGGTATGTTTATACCCACTTAGATTTACTTAAAAGCATGTGTGGTTATCACAGTAATTGTCTTTGTCATAACGATTGCTGTAATTATTGTGATCGCTTCTGTTGTTGCCCAGCTGTAGTTGGGGATAGGTTTTATTCAGTTGACACTGTGTAATTAGGGTCTTTTTATTTCTTCTTCAGTTGGCAGTTCTGCAAGTAGTAGTGCCACAAGGAGAGATTCTCTATCTACTAGCTCTGACTTGTACAAAAGATCTAGTAGCAGCCTAGCACCCATAGGGCAGCCATTTTACAATAGTCTGGGATTTTCCTCCTCTCCAAGTCCAATAGGCATGCCTCTGCCAAGCCAAACGCCAGGACATTCACTTACGCCACCGCCATCACTTTCATCACATGGATCCTCATCCAGTTTGCATTTAGGTAAAAAAAACAAAAACAAAAAACCAAAAAACACTTTTTGTTTGTATGTGTGTATGTATTTCTATGTGTAAAATATATGTTGCATAAGAGATGTCACATTACCTTTGCTGTTAAACAGTTTTGTAATGAAGAGGGGCCATTCCTGAAAGGTGAAGAGCATGTTCAGATGCTCATTGATATGACAGTGGAGGGCACTCAGCTTTTGGTAGTATCAGGCCAACAACTGATTTTTCTTCCCTTGCAGAAGCCCAGTAAGAGTTATTGGTCCTTTTTCTATTATGTTTCCACACTATGACAAGCCAAAGGTGCATTATTTTTGTTTCTCCTCTACTGTGTGGCCACTTTAAGGACATTTTAGATTGTGTGCTTAACAGTGAAGTGACTTTCATTAACGCCCCTTGCCATGATAAAGTAGAAAAGTGAGCAGTGCTCTCTCTCAATGTAAAATGTATTGAAAGATGATTTTTGAATCAGTCAACCTCATGGCCCAGTTACTTTGCCAGGATGACAGTAGTTTATCACCAGACTGATGGAAGGAGACCAAAAAAAGCATTTGTCAAAGAAGCAGCAAAGATCTTGTTAGTGGTGGCTCTCTGTTATGCATTTTTTAAGGAATGCTGAAAATAATGTCTCAATTTTTTTTGGCTAGTGAGATGACACGGGAGCTCAACCTTTCTTTTAAAAAAAAAAATTAAAAATAAAATAGCAAAAGAAACCACACCACAGTATACAGTATATTTAGAAGATAATGCCTCTAACCTGAGGTTACCTAGTACAGTTTTTCTTTTCCGCTGCAAATATTTGCAGTCATTTAATTTGGATGCTAAAATCATACAGTGAAACTGGATGTAATTCAAGATTGAGTTGCCAGTTGCTCCAGTAACTGTTCAGTGCACAGTTCCATGCTTGCAATAGGCAGCATAATCCCCTATACTTCTTAGTGCAAATAAAAGAGGAAAAAAAAATTTAAATGCCTACCAGAATACACCTAAAGTGAGAAATGTGTGAGTGATTTGTGTAACAAGGTTAAATAATTAAAATAAATTACATTTGCAGTACAGTATCCCCTTCAAGGTTAAGTGCTGAATACCCAAAATAAAACTGGGCAAGGGGATGTTTCAGCACGTTTTATTTTTTTTTACTTACCTTTTTTCCTTTTTCAGGTCTACAAAGTGCACCTTTGGGCTGAGACCAAGCATGGAAAGTTTCAGCCCAAATGGAGGCTTTTGAGAAAGTTCTGACCATCTGACAATGGGGTTATCATGGAAATCTTTTTCTTTCTTTCTTTTCAAAGTACTCTCACCATAGTTTTCATATTGCTGAAAACTATACTTAAACCAAATTTTGGAAGGCATTATCTAAACTTTAAAACATTCAAAGTTTTGTTCATTTGATACTTGATAAATGTTAAAAGATTTTTTTCCAGTTCTGAGAAAATAGGCTGTGATCAATATAGAGTATTGCCTCTATCAGCAGAAATTGTTAAATACTGACTTTGACCCATTTTGAACTGTTTGGCAGTGTCAACTAAGCCTAATAGCTTGTTAAAATCATGTACTAGATCACTGCGTAACTGCCAGAATATACAGTTGTACTCTGAAAATTGACACAACCTTATTGGCTTCCATGTGTTCTCTTCATCCTCCATGTGAAGTGGACCATGATTACTGATAAACTTTTTGCTATATTACAAAATCAGCCTGAAATTTGGAAATGGAGGACTTTTGGATACTTGCTTTCACAAAAATGCAGAAAAATGCAATTTTTTTTTTTTTGCCTTTCTGCCCTGTGCCATATTTTTGCACAGTTGCATTCAAAGTGCACCATATAAGAGTTTAAGACTATTTCTGCAGTTAATTGTCTGTCTTGTTATATTTATTTCAGTGTGTTCATCAGCCACTCTTGGAAGCATGTTTTGTTCTCACATACAAAAAAATAAAAATCAAAGGTTTCTCACCAAAATGAGAAGTTCCATCTGAAATCAAACAGGGAGTGTATTATAAGAAAAGTACGGTTAGCATGTAGTCACTTTTCAGAGTAGAACAACATTTTTAAGTTCATGTCTGCATGCAGTTTCCATTGGTATTCTGATAATGCCTGTCAAATGCAGCTCTCCCTCCACCTTCCAAACTTGTCCTGCCTGCTTGTATCAACAGGTTCAGCTAAGTTTAACCTTTGTTTTAAAATGGGCATCAAACTCGGTTGCTCCTGTTTCAGCCACCAGAATCTTGGGAAAGGGTGCATGGTTTTATAACCCCTTTGTCAGACACTGCTGCAATTTGTAGCTTAAAAGAACAATTTCCCTTTTACAAGAAATTTGTGATATTTTACTGCTTTTATCTCTTCTCACCAACTTTTATCCAACATCCTAAAATAGGAATGTGCTAATGACTTTGTGCTAGTGTCAGTTTTCCTGTATTTGAAGAGATTTGTCAGTTGTCTGTAACTGCTGCTTTACTGTAATCAGCTGGAGCAGTAAGGTCATGAATTTGAACTACCCTTTCACTCCCAAGTACAAGGAGCTGCAAGAGGAAGTAGTTTTCCACTGTCATAAAAAATCCTTTTAGATTGGTAATCCTTATTACCCTGTTTGATGGTACATTGCAGCATTTTAAGAGTAGAGTTTTGGTGTAGAGTAGGGTTTCTAAAATCTCAACTTTTGGAGGTAATTATTTCCTGTGTGTTGCAAGCCAGGTTTGTTAGCAGTTGGGATTGATGTTTCATCTTCAGAGATGGTCATTCTGGGTAAGAGTAAAGGCCCCTTGGCAAGGCAGTGTGGGGAGCTTTGCATTGCCTCAGCTGTGTCCCTCCTCTGTAGGGCTGCAGTAAACCAGACATTACAAACACGTGCATTGATTCCTAAAATATACATAGATAGGTGTAATTCTATTTTCCATATGAAGATGAAACTTTTTAAGCTTAGGATGAGATTAAGCTACTTTTTTACAGATAAATAAATACTTAGTAAAATTAAGTTTAAAGCATTTATATGCATGTATGTGTGTTACTAGAAAATACTGCTGACACATGTAAATAAGTTACTGTGCAGTAGACGTTTTTTCTATCTTTATTAGAAATAATTGAAAAAATAATAAATACTAACAGACTAATGCTGTCAAAATTAATGTGCCTTGATCTCGTTTTTAATGTTTTTTTCATGTTCTCCTTAACACTAAATATGTTAAGGAGTCAATTATTTAACATGCTTTATATCCTTGAACCTTAGGCTCTGATTTAGATTATCTATATCCCCTTTATATCTCTCTGCCTTTTCCTCCCTATGGATTAGCCATGGGGCTTTAGGTTCAACTAAACTGTTAAACAACTTGGTATTACCCAGTGCTTTGGAGATCTTTGTTTTATGAGATCAGAAGTGATAGCTGATGATTATCTGAAGAATGAACTGCACACTTCTTTCCCCAAGAGTTTGGAATTGTGTGGCTATACTCATGTTTAATATGTATTTTAATTTATTCAGTAGGGTATGTTCCCCAAATAACTTACAAGATCTAGGCTGTTACTTTCCTAGTTTGGTGAAGAAAATAGGCCATTGTACTCACAATTATGTCTGCATGTAATAAGTACCTAAGACAATATGCCTTTATTTTTTGTGAGTTTACTGTCTTTCAAATCTGCAGAGTTGCCAGTGAGCCATAACATTACTGTAATTAAAGGTTATGTGCAAATAAAAGCTAATTACTAATTAAATTACTCTTTTTTATAATAGTATCCAGTGTTTTACAAGGTTCTGCTTTCTGAGTACCACAGGTTCTTCTGGGCACAATGGATGTGCTTTGTTAATACAGCCTTCCTGTATTATTGTTCTGCCTAATGTGATTGTCTGAAATAGCCTCAGAGGGTAGACAGGAGCCTCCCAGTTGCAGCGTAGCTGTCTTACAAGTCTTAAAAAGTGATGGTTCCCAAATTACACTGAAAAAAGGCTTTATAATTCTCAGCAGGAAATGTATATTACACATATATAGCATATTTGTTAAAAGCTACCAAATTTCTTAATTTCTGTTTTAGTTGCTGGATAAATTGTCACATTTAATTTATAGAGATAAAGGTTCAGTTAAAAAAAACCCAAGCTGAAACAATTCCTGATTCACATGTTCAATTCTATGACTCTGTATGTTGACTGAGCATATGATCAAAACTTAGTTTCTGGCACAGAATTGAGCATGTGATCAGAGGAGTAATAGTGATCTTGCAACAGGAAAGTAGCCTATAATTTCCTTTCAGATGGGCTCTGGTGCCCTCTCGTGATATTAAATAGTGTTACTGCACAGCACATACAGGGAAGCCAGGATTGCAGTGGTGTGCAATGTTTACATAGTCCAGATGAGAAATAACATCATTTCAGCTGCATAACTTTTTTGTTCTTTAGAAGTCTGTTCCTAGATGAGAACCTATGGCAGAGCATCACTCTGCATACTGCTTCACCTGCAGAATGTTGGGGTTTCCTTTTCTTTTGTTTGTTAGTACCATAGTACCACAATGTTTACCAATGGAAACTAAAAATGATAGTTACAAAAATTTGATTTTTCTGACTGTAGAGAATTAAGACACTTTAAATTAAGAGAAAACCTGGTTTTTAAAAGATGTTGTGGCGCATAAAGTATTTGTTGGTGTTTATCACAGAATTTTGAAGACTAATTATAAAATAAGTACTAATTATTTCTATTTTAGGGCATAATCCTATACAGTGCAATAAATGTGATGTTTTATGTGTCTTTCAGAGCACTAACATCTCAGAATCTGGTACTACAATTTGACCTTTTGAGAAAGATAACTTTACCATTAATACATTGCCAGTCCACTGTAACACTCTTGTTGCCTGGCCTTATAAATATTTGGAACCAAAGGAAAACAAGGATTGGCTAGGGCTCAGTTAGTTGGGGTTTTTTTCATTGTTTTATGAGTTTTTTTGGGGTAGTTTTTTTCTGGTTTTTTTTTTTTTTTTTACCTTGTTTAAAAATTAAGTTTGTGATAGAGCACCATTCAAACAGCACATACTGCAATTTATTTTAAATTCAAATGTAAATACTTAATCTATTGACTTTGAAAGGGCTTTAATTGCAATTTCATTTCCTAGACAGGGAGCCAAATTGTTTCCTTTCCCAATTCATAGTCAATACTTTTAGGGAGGGTTTGTTTTTTTCTTTCCTTAGTTTGGTTTTAGTAGTAGAATTGAGGTTCCTATGTGGGAATTGTTTTTGAGTATTTCTGCTTGTAGTATAGTAAGAGTATCCCTCTGAAAAATCATACAGCAGTTGGGAAAAATGCTTTGGATGCTTTTTATGATAATTGCTGCCTGTTGTAAAGTGGATGGAAGAGGCATGCTGGAGGAGTTCAGAGTGACACACACTGATCAGAGAGCAGGGTGTGAGGAGAAATGCACAGGACTGTAGAGTGAAAAGAGCTCTAGGTAGAATCACTAGCAAACAGGAGTAGGACCCAGACACAGGGAGGTAATTCAGTTCTTGGAAAGTAAGGAAGGATGAAGTGAGAGTGGTGTTTGTGCAGTGAGGAAAGGACTTCGAGTTTCTAAAATGAGCTTCAATTTGATGAATCTGTGGTTGTTTGATGATTAAGTAGAACATTCTTAGTTACCTGGTTTGAAATTTGACATATTTAGTGCTGAGAAGAGGTACCAGATTGAAAGCTTGGGATGCTGAAGTCATCAAATAACCTGCAGGACAGGTACAGCTTGGCAAGAGGCACCACATGTACCTCCCCAAAAATGCCCTTAACACGCTGTAAGCTGGAAAGGTATCTCAGTAGGGACTGAAGGGTAGTTCAGATTTCATGGTCTATTTTGACACAATTGGCTAACATCAAGACTACTAACAAGGGTATAAGCCAGTATGACTCGTGAAGTGGAAATCTGCCCACTAAGCTTAAGGCCCACCCAGTTCTAAGGTTTCTGTAAGGCTGAGTGGGTGCTCACTTTACCTACCTTGATATATTCTTCTAATGACATTTCTTTTCCTGGTGCCCTTCACATAAAAATGAGGAGGAGAACGGTTTTATTTATTGCAAGATAAAGCTATCTAACTCCTCCAACCATAATGAGGTAAATATAAACAAGACAACACTGTTGTTTTCTTTGGCTCCAGGGTGTATCTGTAGTTTTAGTTCACTTGCTGTTTTGCTGTTGCTTATTTTCCTCACGGCTGTTACTGACAGAGCTGCTTCCTTGTAGGAGGACTGACAAATGGTAGTGGTCGCTATATTTCTGCAGCCCCCGGGGCCGAAGCCAAGTATCGCAGTGCGGCGAGCACCTCCAGTCTCTTTAGCTCCACCAGCCAGCTCTTCCCTCCTTCGCGCCTCCGCTACAGCAGGTCTGACATTATGCCCTCTGGACGCAGCCGGTTGCTGGAAGATTTCAGAAACAATCGTTTCCCTAATCTTCAGCTAAGGGACCTTGTTGGACATATTGTTGAATTTTCCCAAGACCAGCATGGTTCTAGGTAATTATTGCAGGAATAGTTAATAATATTTTACCGCTTTGATATTGTTTTATTAATACAAAACTTTTGAATGAGGTGCTCGTCATCTTAATTCAAAGCATCTTAATTTGGAGCACACTCTTAAGTTGACCTTCTCTAAGAAATTTAATTGTAAAAGTAGTATTAATTTAGGTGCCTGTAGAAGTTCTCAGTGTAAAAAAAGCCTCATAACTAGACTTGTAAACCCTTAATATTAAGGAATGAAAAAGGCATTGATGAAGAAAACAAAATATGTGGCATCTGGAATGTAAAACTACTTTTTGTCAGTACATCACCAGGTAGTTAGTTACTTTTCATCTTTGATGCTTTTCAAATGAAAGTTTTCAAGTCTTAATTTTACTAAAATGTATCTTTTTATATGCAGAGGCACTACTTTCATTTTAATAAATTTTATAAATGTTGACTGCTTTCTTTAGAGTGTTGAGGTGTCTCATTGAAACGGTGTTTGAGAAGTTTTCCTGTTGTTGATGCAAAGCATAATGTACCTTTTTTTTGCACTTAGATTTATACAGCAAAAACTGGAGCGAGCTACTCCAGCTGAGCGCCAGATGGTATTTAATGAGATCTTGCAAGCAGCCTATCAATTGATGACTGATGTATTTGGAAACTATGTAATACAGAAGTTCTTTGAGGTAAGCATAACCCTGAGTGTATGGATGGGCATGCAAATGAAGTGCTGTAAATCTGATTGAATTTAACTGGTCTTTTCTTAACACCATAGCAGAATTCTACATGACTTCCACAATCATGTAGACCCAACTCTGCATGGGTGTTTTCTGTTCTGTATTCAGTGTTTTTTGCAATAATGGACATGGTTTCTCCTTACACTGGTGGTGCATGTGTTGGTGAGCACTAGTGAATGCACAGGCATTGAGGCTTCACCAACCTCTGAGCAGAACTTGGAGAGACTTTCATCAGATGAAAGGGAACATAAATATTTGAAAAATGGTTTTTATTGGTTACTGCATCGTCGTACAGAATGGGTCTGGAAAATGCACTTGTGCTCAAACAGCTGTGTAAACTTCATCGGGTGCTGTGTATGAGGAAATTCCCATAAAATGTAGAGGCAGAAGAGTTTTGAGTAAGGGGTATCCACCATAAGATACATCCAGTATTGCTACAACGAGAATTTAAAACAGATTTGTCTTCTCTTAAAAACTATGTGGTAAAAAAAGGCTTTATCAAAGAATTACAAGATTTGGCTTGCAGAGAGAAGAAAGTAATAAATGTGTCCTGGGAAAAGTTATGTGTAGGAAAGGTATCTAGTATAGTGTACTTTAAATCAAGGGCCATATCAAAGAGTGGTGGAAGGAAGGTGATGCTGGAAAATTCCCAGTAAGAAATAAGGTACTTGCTATAAACAAGAATGAAGTTGCTAATAATCTACCATAAGAATAATGTGCACACTTTTTTTACTTCTTTTTTAATAACCAATCAAAATATCTTTAAACTGTCACTGACATATGATAAAAAAGATCTTGATTTTGCTTAAGGGTCATCATTTGCTATTTTTTTCCATAATGTTAAGTTGGATGAATACACAGTTAATAATGGTTAGCTGAGTGTTTTCATCTTAATTCTGCAGACCACTTCTCAAGAAAAAAAGTACATGTGCCCTTACATGTAATAGGGGACCTCAGTTTACAGTATAGGTAGGCAGGTGAAGTTCCTGGTCAGGCTTTCTTCAGAGCTGATTACAGGTGTAGAGGTTGACAATTCTCAGCAATGCTGCAGGAACATTGCTGTGCCACCAGCTGGTTGTCCAGCTGGTCACTTCTGTGACCTCTCTTACAAGATGTAAGATATGCTGTACAAGATGAAAAATCTGATTTGGATTCATACAGAATAGTGACCTGTGATCAATTTGCCAGTATAACTTACTTGAAAAAGTGGTTTATTGCACTTAAATATTCCTACAGACAGGCAAACATAAACTATATCGTTTCTTCTGTTGTCGTTCAAGGTCATGCATTTGATAGCAGTATGTGAACTGGATGTGGAATATTAAAAAATGTTGCATTTAGAAAAGAAAAGCTTCTGGTAAATATCCCTACCAAAATACAAAGTGAAAAATTATTCAAATATTACAGTCATGTACATCTTGACCATACATACTCTGACATGTAAATTCCAGCATGCTGCAATGTCTTCATTTGTTAACAGCATATTTATTTTCTTTTAGTTTGGAAGCCTGGATCAAAAGTTAGCCCTAGCAACACGCATCCGTGGTCATGTTCTGCCATTGGCCCTCCAGATGTATGGCTGTCGTGTTATCCAGAAGGCACTTGAGTCAATCTCACCTGACCAGCAGGTAATTGTAAGTTAGAGCAATGCTTTTTTAATTTTATTTATTTTTAATGTATCCCTCTTTTTACTTGATTAAATTGATGATTATTCCCTTCATTATGAAATATCCTGGGGGCTAAAATAATTGTTTAAATGAAAGTACTGAGGTACACAGTTAACACCAGTGAATGTGAAGGTTGGAGTCAGGATGAAATTAAATCTTTCCCCATTTAAGGAGGGCGGGGGAAATACCATCATAAAGACAAGGATAATCTTTGTTTTTCCAGAATGAAATGGTGAAAGAGCTGGATGGCCATGTTCTGAAATGTGTGAAGGATCAAAATGGAAACCACGTTGTACAAAAATGCATTGAGTGTGTTCAGCCCCAGTCGCTGCAGTTCATCATTGATGCATTCAAAGGACAGGTAGTGTCAGTGGTTCATTTCCTCTTTGCAGGTTGCTTAGATTTCACAGGAAAAGGTCTGCAGGTCTTTGTCCATCATTTGCACGTACAAGGTAGCATTTGCCACTTTGCACTCAGCTTATTTTAAGTAGAATGAAAAAGGGAATGATGGCATTGGAAAGCTGTTGGAGAGACACATAATATGCTGTAAAAAGATGAATTTGTTGGAGAGAAGGCTCTAGAAAGCAATGTTTCTATGAATTATAAATAATAATAAATATTTATGTAATCTAAATACATACAAGGGACTTTGCATGCCCAGGCTTTGTGTTTGTGTTTTGTGATAACACCATTTCACATTTCCTTCACAACCCTTGGCAGGGCCATTTTTCATATAATAATAATATACGTGCTCTCAAGTATACGTTTTCCATTAAAAATTACATTTTCCTCTCCTGTTGCTTGTGTTGCACGTATGTCTTTCAGTGTTTCCCAATGAATGTCAGTCCTTAAGGAACTGCAGTGATGAAATTTACTAATCTGTTCCCTTCATATGGACTAGTGTGAAGGGGGTGTAGTATTTGTTTACTTCAGATTGGGGTTTTTGTTTTGTTTCCAAAAAACCATTATTGCTGTAAGATTGATGTTATGCTGCAGGCTAGTGAATGTGCTGCAGCTAAATAACATTTTAATCCTCTGAGACAAGCCTTGAGAAGAATTGTAAAAATCTTACTAACTTGGCTATATAACTAAACTTTACTTTAATGGATGGCCAAATATATTTCCTAATAAAATCTACAATATCTTTCTCATTTTACACAACAGCAATACCTGAATTACTGTTGTACAAAGTACTAAATTGCATACCAAGGTTTCTAGGGTTCGGTCTTTTTACACCAAAAAGTGAGTATAAGGTCCATGAGATGCATTTTTTAAACTGTAAATACAGCCGCTTGACTAAAGTGTGAGTTTATGTACTGAACATACATCCTAAGCACCAAGTAATTATATATCGAATATGGCACACTTAAGTGATACTACTTATCATTTTCTTCTGCCTGCATCATCTCAGTTGATGCCTTATCATTCTATATTCAGTCCTGACCAACACTGACATTTTTGGCATTAATCCTCAAACCATAAATGTAGCTTTCAGAGAAGCAAGCAGAAGGAATGAGCAAGATTTGGCCGTATGTTTTCAGTAGTTACTTACAAACTTTATATCTCTAACTGGGAACCTATTATGTATACTGGAATATGAAATTGGTGAAAATCAGCCACCATTATTAAATTCCTTTTTATAAGTGTTAAAGTCTTAAAATTTGAAAAGAAAGTAAAAAGGAAAGCTTGAAAGTTGAACAGCAATTACCTAAGGGTCATACTTCCAGGCTCTCCTTTGCAGCCATGTAGGCTAGAAACATTGTAATGAACACTTGGGTTCTTAGCTGTATGTTTTCTGGAGTCCTTGACACACAAAAACCTACTTTTCCATCTTTTCCTGACTTTTCCTGGAAATAGAATTCTGGTCTTGGCAGTCAAAACTTTTTTTAATAGTAGTTATCTTCAGTTCCATTTTGAATGCAGCAATATTGCAATAGATGTGCGCTTCGGTCGGTTTAACTTCAGTTTGCAATCCTATTTTCAAGGTATTTGTACTTTCAACTCATCCATATGGTTGTAGAGTAATTCAGCGTATTCTGGAGCACTGCACTGCTGAGCAGACTTTGCCAATCTTAGAAGAACTGCATCAGCACACAGAGCAGCTAGTGCAGGTCAGTGCATGTAGACTCATTTTTAATGCACTTCAGAGTTCTTTGTTACCATAATTTACTCCTGTATCCTAGTTAAAATGCATTTGCTTCTTTTTAGTTTTGTCAACATTGATTTTTTGTTTTTCTTTCCTTCCATAGTTTTAATGAATATGACTTTGGAAGTTGGGAGGCAAAGAAGATATAAAAAGCATTTTTCTTACACTTTTGACTGTAGCTTGGTGTTCAGGGGAATATTACAGCTTCTAAAAAGTATGATCTTAAATTTGAGAACTTCTTTCTTTAGGAAGATAAAAAATACTCTAGCAAAACAATGGTTTTACGGATTATTTATGTTTTTCATGTAAAATTTATGGTCCGTTAAGTAATTTTTAATTAAATATTTCTTGCATCACTTTGCTTCTGTAATGTTGACATACTTATTGTATTTTCCTTATAGCCATGCAAATAGTACTTTCATACTTTATGCTCGTGTACAAAAGCTGTCAGTATTATTTACTTGGTATGAACACAAAAGAAAATTCAAGTAATCTTATTTTCAGGATCAATATGGAAATTACGTTATTCAACATGTCCTGGAGCATGGTCGTCCTGAAGACAAAAGCAAAATAGTTTCAGAAATAAGAGGAAAGGTTCTAGCTCTGAGTCAGCACAAATTTGCCAGGTATTGCACAACTTTCATATATTAAAGATTCATTAACCTTGTGAAGTTGTAACACTGGATTTATTTTTTGTGTTACAAAAGGGATACATTTTTTTTTTTTCTATTGTACATCCTGAAATTTCATATTTTTGTAGAGATGAATGGTAGTGATACTTTTATACTAGGTTTGGGGGAGGGAAGAGGCAAATGTTCTGTAGCAAAACAAGAGGTTCTGTGGGTTTATGGGATGGCTTTTGTTCACTTTGTGCAAGTGCAGGGAGCAAGTTCCAAGTTTTCATGTAAGGATGCCCAGAGACAGGTGAAAAGCTGTGCTGGAACTTGAGTGATGTGCTGATGATGATAAACTGGGACTTGCTGACTCTCAATCCATCCACCAATCTGCAAGTATAACAAGGCTGCCTTTAAAAAGTGGTAGTTCAGTCTGACAAGGATTTTCTGCCTTAGAAAGTCTGGAAGACTGCTGTAGGAGGCCTGAACTATTCTGACTTTGGAACCTAAAACTCCTACTTTCATACTTTTTGCTAAAGTATGGATTATGTGCCTTTTGTGAAGGAAAAATACACCTCAGAATTCATTCTAGGTGATTTAGTGAGACTAACCTTGTCATCAAAATGACGTAGAAATGCACTGTGACTTTATGGGAGCATTTGTTTTAAAAATTGCTTGCAAACTAGTTTATTTGGATTTTATTTTTCTTTGGCCTGAATAGAACTCTTCATAGCCCTCAAACTTGCTTGATTTCTAAAGCACAAATTTAGGACCAGGATCATTTTGCGACATTACAAGCTTTGATGGCCTTTCCAGCTTATGAAATAAACTGGAAGGTCAGAGACTTGCTCTACAAAAGAATATTTGATGGAATCACTGATGTAGGCATGCTCTTAGAAAGTGCATTTATTCAAAAAGCAAGAATCTTCATACCTAGCTTTCTCTGTTGTGTTCAAAGGGCCCACAACCAGGATAGATATGCTAGGACACATCTGCAGCCTGAAGTCCAGTACACCTATGTAGGTTCAGTGGAAAAGTCTCTCCTACTAAATAATCAAAAAATAACCCTGTCACATGGGTGAAGTAATAGTGATGCGGTGACTAACTTCTCAGTCATTAGACTGGAAATCTGGAAATCTGGAAATGAGGAATTGATGCGTTTGCGATACGCTTTTTACTGGCATTAAGAGCCCTGAAGAACTGATAAACTTCCAGAGAAATTGATAATAGTTACCTGAAAGAATGTTACACCTCCAGTCCCATCATGGACTTGCCTTATTTTTCAGCAACGTGGTAGAAAAGTGCGTGACCCACGCGTCGCGTGCGGAGCGAGCCCTGCTGATCGACGAGGTGTGCTGCCAGAACGACGGCCCTCACAGTGCCTTATACACCATGATGAAGGACCAGTACGCCAACTACGTCGTGCAGAAGATGATCGACATGGCCGAGCCTGCCCAGAGGAAGATCATAATGCACAAGGTACGTGTGTGCAGCCATGTGGTGATTCAGAAATACCTCTGTGAGCTTTTCTGCCAGAGCGCCTTTCCCTGCAGATGCAAAACTCAACGCTTCTGTAATCTAGAATTTGATGTATAACCATGACATTCGGTGGAGCTTGGTAAAGCAGAAAACAGGTCTCTCAGCACTGAGATAAAAAAGGAAAGTTTCATTGTTGATACTTGGAAACAAAGGAAAGTTGGATTTTATCTCCTGTCTCTGTGCCAACTTTTGTGTGAATATACTTCTAGCAGGAAAGTGTAGTATCTCTTGTCACTATTAATATAACAGGAGAAATACTGGTTTCTCTTTTTATTTCCTGGTTGTGGGTATGAATCCACTCTGCAGTTCCCCCAGAAGAGATTTCCGCACTTCCTAGCATACAGGCACATTTCTAGTTAAGAATATCCAGACAGGGAGAAGTGTGCTGTTGCCATAATAGCTGAAAGCTGTTTTAACACAGGGCCTAGGATATTCCTGCAGGAGCTCTGCTTTCCCTGGTCACCAACAGGGCTCTCCCACAAAGTCCTGCCTCCCTTTTCCTGCAAGAGAAACATCAGTTATTTGATGAGTCAAAATCATCAGTTTTACATCTTTCCAGAAACTTCCAGTGCTTTGAAGTACAGGCTTCTGGCATCTTTTTGCATAATTTTTTCTAAGTGTTGTTACCTCTGCTTGAAAGTGTGGATGTTAAAAAAAGCCAAACATGTTTCTTATTACAGATTCGACCCCACATCACGACTCTGCGTAAATACACCTATGGCAAACACATTCTGGCCAAGCTGGAAAAGTATTACCTGAAGAACAGTGCTGATTTGGGGCCAATTGGTGGACCACCAAATGGCATGCTCTAAAAGACAAGGAGAAACGGAAGAAAAATTAAATTGTGAATTATCAAAACCTACAACTTAACTCTAAATGTTCTGATTTTTTTAAATCTATTTATTGACTTTGTTCATCCATTTGTAAAATTTTTATTCTTGTGTATATTTTTGGGGAGTGAATTGTTAAAAAAAAATATCTCCAGCCCTGATCCGGAGACCTATCAGATTGGATGGCTGGCAAAGCACAGAATGCCTGTATATGATGTAATTGTATCAAAATAGCTGTCACATATTTTGTAAATTTTTACCTTGTAAAGTCACTGAAATAGTTTTTAAAGGGGAAAAAGTACAGTATTCTTTTAATACACTGGCTTGCAATCTGGTAGGTCTACCCAGCATCATAGCACAACAGGTTTATAGAGTTGTATATAGAATTAACCCTTATTTTTCCCTTTTATGTGAAGTCTTTTATACCAGATTAAAATTGATCAGCTTCATAAACATTATTTAACATGTTGAAAAGTTAAGTTGTGTTTTGGTGGTTCACAACATCCTATCCAAATAACAAACAGGGCACAGCAAATTAAAGTAGGGAAGGACAAAACTATGGAAACTTTGAGAGTAGGTTTTGGCACTTGCTGTGGATACAGTTTTTTTTAAATCATGCCCTAAGGTTTTCTCTAGCAATGTATTAAAAATAAAGTGCTGTATATACTTATATATTTAATTGTTGTACAAGGTAGAGGGATTAAAATGATGGTGGTACTTGCATTCAGCAAAGTACTCTGTTGGAAAAGGAGTGAACCCTGTATTAACTTTACAGTCAGTTTTACAATGCAGGAAGAGTAGAGATATGTATTTTTTTATTTTGCATATAGAATTGTAAGGATTTGAAAGTGTTGAGCATTTATTTTGCTTTCTCACTGTAGATGCAAAAAATAGGTAATGATAAAGAGAAGGGGCCACTGAAAAGTAAACTTGATAGCTCAACACTTAAGCATGATTGATTAAATATTCAGATAGCTTTTTGCTTCCTATAAATATATGCATTGTATACGTGTAGTTAATAGGTGTAAGTTTACAGTTTGAAAACAAATCTCTTGTTTCGATGTTTATTACAAAGCCTTGCTAATTTAGTAGTGATGCTTACCTTGGTTGTACAGATGTACATTTGTAAACCTTCATGCTGTAAATGTAATTTGTTTTACTCCTTTTTGGGACAAAAATTTGCATTTTAGTGTATATTCATATCCTCATTCCCTTCTTTCCCCCTGGCATATAGTGTTGTATAATGTAAATTTATTTCAGCAAATCAAGAGTGATTTTTTTAAAATTCTATCTTTATATGGTTTCAAAAATATGAACCGGCTTTCTTTTTATCTATTGTGAGAAACATTATGTTTTGTTTATAACATAGCTGTTGAATCTGTTCATATGGACACTTTGGGAAATCAATCTGTTCAAATTTTAAATCAGGATAAATAAGCATAGTAAGAAGTGGACTGAAATACTTGGTTATTACAGAAACCAATGCTTCTTCCATCTTAATAAATGTGGCATGAATTTTTTGTACAGAAGAGTACTGTATTTTTGAATAGCCTTCTCGCAGCGTAAAGCAAATATGTATGATACTGTCGATTTTTTTTCCTCTGGACATAAGACATTGTAACAGTAACATAAAGATGATGTACATATACAAGCGGCCTTATGTACATTTCCCAATGATCTTTTTAAGGCAGAATTGTGACCATATGTGTATAATTAAAATCCTTTTTAATTCTTTGCCTATGGAAATATTTTGGAAAAAGCTTACTTTGTATATTCAGTTTCTGAAAGATAAAGAAAGTGCTTTGTATGTTGTTGAAGTAAGTATTTTGTGTAAAATGTTCATTTGGATGGCTTAACCTAAAGTTTTCATTAACTTGGTAGTTTGGAAACAACATCTTGAGCATTGATCAAATAAAAGGCTGTTGTGGTAGGGGTGTGATCATGAGAAAGAAAATAGTAGTGGTATAAACTTGTATGAGGAATTCTGTCATGTTACTGTTGATACCAGGGTTACCTAACTGTTACTATAGCAGACATCTGAGGCGCTGCGTTTCTAATGGTAGTGATAACTCCTTAATAGGCAAATGGCAAAGTTTCTTCTGGTCTACTTCCAGTGCCTGCACAAAGTGAAGTAGTAGGCCTTGTTATTTTGAGTAAGCACAATTCTAATTGCCAAGTAGGTTTTGTATGGCAGTTCACAAAATTCCTACCCAGAGGTACCAGCCCAGTCATTGGAGCCAGAGCTTTCCTGTAGTCACCCAAAGGATGACTTCTGAGCCACTTCCTTGGACACATCAATTCTCAGTGACTATCTTTGCCCTGTGTACCTGTGCCGTGTGTTGCAATCCACAGAGCCAGCATTCCTTCAACACAAGACAGTATGTCAGGCTTTTGGGGATGTCCAGACAGAAACTGATAATGTCCCTGTACTTTGTTCCTGCAGCACTCATGCCATGGTTGAATTTAAACAGTCCTGTAACTGTCATCCTTGGTGCTTTCAATATCTTTAGTATAATCTTCCACTTGCTCTCCTGAGATCATTTGTGCACAAGTTTTATCCAGGAACATGAAAATCACTGGATTTCCTTTCAGCTATTTTAGGGTTTGGGTAGAACCACTAGACTTTTTGCTCAAGTATTGCTTTTTGATATAGATTGTTTATGGACCAGTTTGATTAGGTTTGACTCCAGGTGGCTCGTATTGAATAATGTAATGTTCACGTGTATATACTGTAAAAATCAAAATGAAAATGTGTGAATAACACTGTGTGAAATATATCTGGTCTTGCGTTTTTCCTGTAGGAAACCAGCCATATTCTCAGTTATGTGATTTACATGTGTCTGTGGAGCTCAGCTTTGGGAAGGTGCTTGCTCACTTGTTCTGATGGGAATTGGGCAATTATTGAAGAACCCTGGATTAGATCATTAAATTTTCAAAGGGCAGTTTTGAGCAGCTAAACCTTCCTATATTATACATCTTTACTGCTGCCTAGTTAAGGCTACAGCCTGGTGACAGTTTCTTCGTACATCTCTGGATTCAGGATGAGTTCAGGAGCATTTGAGAGGGTTAGCTTTCAAATGAGAGAAGAAATTGTTAGCTCTCTGTGGCAATCCCTGGATCCACACTCATTTCTGTTACTGCCCAGGAGATTTTTCAAAAGACCATTTTTAGCTGAAGGTATGAAGTGGACTGACATCACAGGAAATGAGCCTGGTGGGAAATAACTCACCTAAGAACCATTGTTCTGTTCCTGTGGACAGAACAGTCATAATGCCCATCCCTCCATCGCTGACTTTTCCATCAGAGCATGGAGATAATTGAGGTTTTGGGGTCATAATGCTTAGACGTTTTAAAGTGCTGATGCAAATTCAGAAACCGATTTAGTCACTGTTCTCCTCTAAGAATGTGTATTTGAAGAGATGCTTATGGCTCACCACAGCGTAGTAGCACAGCAGTGAGGTTGGGCTCCATGAGACTGATACTCAGCATTCCAGTAACTGGGAAAGTGGGTTAACAGCGGCGTGATGACCATTCTCACTGTGTCAGTCGGGGAAGCTCAGAGAGTGCAAAAGCATTTTAATAGCTAATGACTGGTCATTGAAACTGCAGATTGCATGTAAGTCATGCACCTGGGGGGGAAACTCAGGGCAAACAACAGAGCAGCACTTTGCCCCTGCAGCCAGGACGGCCACAGTGCTCGGGTGTGGAATTCTGCATGGAGCGGTGCCTGAGCATCACGTCCAGGGGCTGGCAGATCCTGCCACCACGGTGACAGTTCTCTGATGCTACTTGAGGAAGGAAAAGGGAACACCTTGAGCTGTGTGATCTGAGCTGCTGCAGCCCATGGCAGGGCAGGAGTTGGTTTGTTAACACAGTGGTTCACATCATTGCAAGCTGCCAGCACTACCTGAAATGTCATTAGTCTCTGGGCAGCACTGATGTGATGAACTACAGGCAGTGTTTTACTCAGCCCAAACAGATTCACATACACTTTGGGCACTATTTGTGCCCAAAGGATGCTGATTTGAGGACCTCTTGGCTTGGGAATGAGGAAGCTTGGTTCCTGTCGGGGATATATATCCATCTTGGGGCTCTGCTCGGTTCCTGATGTTTGGCTAGGGAAGTGTGGGAGAACTTGGCAAGTGTAGGTCCTGCCAGCCCAGGAAGAGACAATCTGAGAGACGCTGCAGAGTGAGCCTGGGGTGTTTGGTCTCCTGTGCAGCAGAGCATCCCAGGCCACCCCAACTCCATCATCAGACGGGGTTAAAAACCAGCACTGTCATCACAGAAAGAGTCACACACGGAAAGGATGGAAGAATGTCCGTCCATCCAGTGTTGATAGTACTCCAGAGCCAATACAGGACATGGGCCTTGCTGAGCTGGTGTTTTAGCCAGCAGAAGGAACGAGATCCCAACATCACACATCAGGTGCCAGAACACAGAGGCTGTGGGGTGGGGGAGCGACCACCCTGCATCGAGGCAATGAGGGGTGGGGAAGACCAAGCTCAGGGATGTAACTGAGCTGCTGGTGCTCCTCAGTGAGGTGGTGCATGAGCGTTTCCTCTGTTGGACGGAGCCTGCTCCCTCTGCTCGCTTTGTGGTTAGGGAACTTGCCCAGCAAACGAGATGCTTGAATTAGTTTCCATTACCAGCCTCAGGGTTTTGAACCCACCTCCCTCACTTCACAAGCATTTTCCTAACCACAAGAAGCTGGGCGGGTTTACTTTCTACTCCTGAGTTTGGGCTGGGCTTTTAGCACAGCTTGAACCATTCATTGCATCACAAAGAGCACAAGATGGAGCATGACTCCTAAAGCATGCAGGTGGGAGTTGGAAATTCTGCACCTGAGATCCTTGTCTCCACCTCGATTCTCCCAGACTCACTTAATGCAAAATATATCTCAGGAGCAGCATTCCCCCATCATTATCAGACTGGAAACTTTCCAGAGGCTTTATAAAAAGCAGCTGAAATGCAGGAAGACCTATTCTAAAGACCCTCTTCCTTTCATTAGAACAAACATTGGAGTAAAACATTCACCTTCTCACCAGCATCAGTGCTCTGGACACAGAAGGCCTTCTGTCTCTTCCTCTTCTGCTTGCACAGCGCCTGCCCAACCCTGAACTCCCCAGATCTGCAAACAAGGGCCGGTGCACATTGCAAGTGACACAGCTGGTGTACAAGAACATCGGGCAGGGAGGAACCCCTTATATAGCTGAGCCCTAATGAGCTTCGTTTGAGCTTCAGACCTGCCTGGAGGGTTCAGATTTCCTGGCAGCCGCACAGCACCGCAGCCCTTCCTCAGCCTGGCTGCTGGATCTTTTCCCAGCCCAGCCTCGGGGAGCGAGGCAGCCCTTCCCCAGCAGAGCCATGCTCCGTGCTGGAGGCTCTGGGGAAGGCTGCCTGTGAACCAGGACAGGTTCACACGCTCCAGCTTCACAAACGCTCGCTCCCAGTACTGGCTGGGGATCGTGCCCACAGCAGCACAGAGCTGCCCCAGCACCTGACTGCTGCAGGGGAGTGTCACTCGTGAGCACTGGGGGGGACATTGGCCAAGCCTGCTGAGGTCCCTCTCCTTACAGGTGATGTTGGCTGTGCCTTCTCAGGCTGCGAGGCCACTGTCTGCTCCTGTCAAAGGGCTTTCCTCAGTGCTGGGGAAGCAGAACAGTTGCAGGTGTCAGGTCCCAAAGTAAAGATCCCCAAAGACATACAACTGCTTACTGAGAACTAATGGAAACTAAGAAGGGAAGAGTTATGGCAAGGGAACACACACAGGTGGTGGCTGAAAGCACTAGCCAGCCTGGGTAGCAAGGGAGATGATGACAGCACATTTCACAGCTATACTTTCTTCTCCCAAATATAGGCACCCTATTCTTTGTCTAAACTGAGGATCAAAAATTAGAAGTTCCCTGGTGGGAATGAAGACCTTTCTTTCCTCCCCTGTCTAATCCTTATCTCCCTTTCTCTAAAACAGCTAAAATACAGCATCAGAAAGTATTTCTATTCCTCCCTGCACAGGATCAAATCAGGAGGAGAGGTTTTGGGAGGCCATCTGTTCACACAGGCTAGATCTTGGAGAAGGATTCAGCCCCCTTGCCTGAGCTCAGTTTTGGTGGGTCTGCCTAGATGCTGTTCCTTGCTCCACACCTGTGTGTGAACTGAATCCAGAGGCTGGTACAACAACCAGAGCAATCGCTCAATAAGCAAGAATCAGAGGGCTGAAGCTGGGCTGAGGAGCTGGGGATGGGCAACCTCAGTGCAAATCACAGAGTCCATTCCAACCCCTTGCATGCAGGGGTGGGATGAATGGAGCAGAGTTCAACCCCATCAGAAATCCAAGTATACACTGATCTCTTTCAAGTGGCCCTTTTAGCTCTTAAAAAGCCTTTTTGTATGAAAGCTCACCATCTTAAGTACTCCAAAATTCACATGATGTCTCCTGTTTCCTTGAAACATCATGTGTCTCATGAGAACTAAGGGTTTGATTATTCATCCCAGTTTGGGAGTCATACAAGTTCACATCCTGCAGGGAAAGGGTCTGTCATGCAGCCCTACCCCAATGCCACCCCCTCCACATGCCCAGCACCGAAAGTCCAGGGTGTTCAAGCTGACCCAGCCCACATTTCCGGAATGTGAAGGAAGGACTGGGCCCAAAGGGTTTGTTGGGGGTGGGAGTGAGAACAACTTTATACTGAAGAATGGAACGGGATGAGAGGTGGCAAAACAAAGCATCTACATTACACACACGCACAAGACTACTATAACCACAGTGCAATAAACAACCATAAGGCCATTTTGGATCACAAATAATGGGAGAAGGGGAGAGGAAGGCAGAAGGAGCACCTTGAAAACCAAATCATGTTTTTTAAAAAGTACATAACATAGTAATAATAGTAAAAAGACACTTTATGCGTTGCAAAACCTTCATTCCAGGCCTCCCTGTGAAGTATAGCTAATTTCACAGTCACCTAAAAAGCAACCAAACTAAAAAAAAAAGGAAACAAAAGAGTATAAAATACGAAGCAAATAAAACATCTGTGTTCACCCTGCCAAAGGCAGTGCTGTTATAGTGGAGCAGGCCTCAGGCACACCTAAGCTGAAACCCATGGTAACCCACAGCTTTCTCTTCCCTACAGACACATAGGTCAGTATTGTAAATGCAGGCGAACCCGGTGGGAAGAAATGATGTCTGACTCCAGTTCAGAAGGCTGAATTATTTCTTTATTATAACTATACTATAATACATAAATATACTATTTAAAAGAGATACTAAAACTACATACCTACTTTTTCTAAATACCATATCTAACTCACAACTCATGACAACATGACAGTCCAGACACAGGTGGATTGAATTTGCCATCAGGCTCAAACAATCCTCACTAGAATCCAATCAAGCAATCACCCCAAGTAAACAATTCTCTAAACACATTCCACATGAGAAAACAACGAGCAAAAATGGAAATTGTTTCCTCTTTCTTTCCTCTGTGCTCCTCTATGAAAAAGTCCTAAGAGAGAGAAGAATGTGCCTGCCACAGGTCAGCAATGCAGGAAGCCCCACACTGCCCAGCCAGGGTTACAGCCCTTGCTGCCTGCTTCCCTCCAGCTCCTCATCCGTGTACGTGCCCTGCCGTGCCCCTGCCCTCCTCCCTGTGCCTCCCTCCCGGCGGGCAGGTGCTCCCGTGGAGGTGGGTGACGCCAGGAGGGCGCTGGCCGGCAGGCCCCGGAGCACAGCGGGGCTCTGCCCCAGCCTTGCACCGCGGCACACGAGCACCGCTGG